CATGTTTTGGCTGCAAATTGGAACTTAGTGTCTTCAGATATCTTTGCTAGCTCTGAGGACATGCACGTAAGCTCTTCTCACTTTAAGGGCCCACTGCTATTTTCAGGAAGAGAGAGAGACAACAAAATAAACACGGAGAACATTTCCGCAGCATTCCCTAAGCACCTGTCCTGTGCCAGGCGCCCTTCGGGCCCTGGTGATGTAGCATCGACAGGACGGAGGCGGCCCCTGCGGTCCCTCTGGTGCGGAAAAACACGACTGGGAAGACGTGTCCGGTAGTGACGAGGGCTGGAATGCAACTGAAGGAAGCGACTGGGAGAAACCTACGGTTGGATGGTCAGAGGAGGCCTCCAAGGCAGTAATACTTGGGACTCGAATAATAAGGAGCAGGCCAAGTAGCAACCTAGGGGAAAGAGGATTCCAGACGGTGGCCACCGTGGGTGGGTACCAAGGCCCTCAGTGAGCAAGAGCTTTGTGTGTGAAAGAAGCTAAGGGGGTCCGCAGGACCCGAGGCCTTGGCAGGCCACGGGGAGGTCGTGCAGGTTGTAGTTCAGTGCTTTGGGGGCCATTCAAGGGTTTAAGCAGTGGCAGGAGTGTGTTCTATGTTGAAAAATTGTCCATGTTTGTTGTATGGAGAAAAGCTTTATACTTTTTACAAGATTTCTTTAGTTTTTAGAACTGACCTGAGGTCTCGCTCTGGAGACAGCGCTGAGCAGCCTCCTGTGAACGCCTCTGCTTTCACTCCCCACTCCCCTTCCTCCCCACTGGCCGCCCTTCCCCTGTGGGGTGGGGGGCACGGTCCCCGGGCCCTGGCCTGGCCTGCCTGTGAGAGCGAAATGCAGGATGGGAAATGCCTGCGGAGCTGGCCTGGCCTTGAGATGAGGGCGTGGCTAAGAGGCCGGGCCAAGAGTGGCCTTCCACGGGGTGAGCAAACCGGACTGCAGTGGCGTTTTGTTTGGCACCAACATTTTTTTTCAGCGGATTCTTGCTGTTTTCAGGTTTTAAAAAATTATCGTTTAAGTGTTTTATACACAGACACACGCATTCGGAGTGCTTTCCGTGGGTCACGCGTCCAGTTTAACATTGGCCGTTAACACCACCTTTTACTGCTTCGCGTCTGGCCCCAGCTCGCTCTGTGCGTTCAGGTGGCCTGCCTGGGCCCCTGTAGGCCTGTGAGCGCTAAATGATGAATGATCATCAAGTGTGCCAGCCTTGAGTAGAAAGTATTTAAGCTTTAAAAAAAAACACAAGAGTAACAGCTACTACCCATGCAGATATCAAATACTATTTCCCATTGTTAAAAGAAAGGCTTGTATCGGGGCGGGGAAATCAGCAAGGACAGGGACTGCAGAGGTGAGGGGGCCCAGGATGCGACAAAGGAGGCTGTGCCGTGGATACTGTGTGCCCATCAACTTCACTGTGGACACACTTGCTAAATGACAGGCATGGGCCCCATCACGGTGAGTTACTACTTTGCATGAAAAGAGGGGTAATCCCTAGGACAGTAGGAGCCCAGCCTGCAGAAGAGTTTGCTGAAAGCCGGTCACAGTTGACCTCCGTGGAGGAAACGATCTTCCAGGGGACAGCGGCGTGAAGGGCGCTTCTGTCTCTGGTGGTGCCGGCTCAGGAGGGGTTAGGCTGACCACAGGGCTCAGCCCTCCTCTCCCGTCTGTAGGTTGTCTCCAAACACCATGGTGACTCCCCACAAGAAGAGCATGCTGGGAAACGGGAACTATGACGTGAACGTCATTATGGCAGCACTGCAGACCAAAGGCTACGAAGCGGTTTGGTGGGACAAGCGCAGGTAACCCGAACCGGCTGGACTTGGGAACTGGCGCGCAGGATGTGAGGGAGGAGGTGGGCGGGCAGCTGTGGCGTGACAGCCGGGAACCTTGAGGGGCGGGCCGCCTCGGGCCTGACACCGCTCCCCCGCCCCGCAGGGACGTCGGAGCCATCGCTCTCACTCACGTCATGGGCTTCATCATGAACCTGCCCTCCAGCCTGTGCTGGGGCCCGCTGAAGCTGCCTCTCAAACGGCAGCACTGGATCTGTGTTCGAGAGGTGGGCGGTGCCTACTACAACCTCGACTCCAAACTGAAGGTGCCCGAGTGGATTGGAGGCGAGAGCGAGCTCAGGTGCCTGTGGTGGCCGAGGTGCGGGGTGGGGTCCTTGCCTCGCTGTGCTGGGGAACTCGAGCTCCTCTTTCGTTGGCAAAGGAAATGAAATTCCCAGCTCCCTGGACCCCTCCCTGCCTTACTTGGAATCATAAAGTCTCAGACTTGAAAGACCTGAGTCTTTGATGGCCTATGGAGTTCCTGCCCCTGGGATGCTGGCCTTCTGGTCTGGTGGTACCAGCATGGTAGTGTCACCGACACTCAGCCAGTGGTGACCGTGGAGCTGCCAGGTCAGAGGAAGGAAGACATTCAGGCCAGAGAGGGCGAAATTTCCCCAAGACCAATGAAGGAACTTTTTTTTTTTTTTAAACCATTGAAGTCCTGTAGAGCATTTTGGGCTGGATCTGTTTGTCACAGAACTAGCTATGTTTGACAGTCACATGAGGAAGAGCAGAAATTCGGGTTGGACACCTAACTGGACAGACGGAAGGGCACCCTCCAAGAACGCATCACTACGAGAGTGTTTTTTAGGGTTGCCCAGGGTGCAGATAATGAGGTTACCAGTGAACACGGGGCCCCGAGACTGGAATTTGCAGTTTCACCAGCATTTTTTTTCTTTCACTTTTTCCCCATAGGAAATTTCTAAAACACCACTTGCGAGGCAAGAACTGTGAACTGCTGCTGGTGGTACCCGAAGAGGTGGAGGCCCGCCAGAGCTGGAGGGCGGACCCGTGACAGGTCCGCCCCAGCCCTCCGAGATGAGCTGCGCTGTGGCCTGCGCAGTGGGCCCGCCTGCGCCACTCCCCCGAACATCTCAGCGGGTCTCCCCCTCAGATCTGACAGTGCAATAGGCCCGATGTGTGAAATGTCACAAGAACCAACCAGCGTTCCTTGTTCCTGGAAGGGAAGGTAGGGGCTGTCTGTGTACAGCAAGCGGCAGAAGACCCTTACTTCATTTGAAGAGAGGAGGGGAAAAGGTGGGTGTTAGCTTATTTCTCCCTTTCCCTTGAGGACTTGGCGGAGGCTCTGCCGGAGTTCACTGCCGCTCTGGCCTGCCTGGAGACACTGCCTCTGTCTCCCCTTTCCCAGCAGCCAGCGGGCCTGAAGATGCAGTGCATGCACAGCCCGTGGGACTGGTTTGAAGGACCCAGGGCGAGAGGGCCTCTCAGGAAACCGTCTTCACAGCCCCAGCAGCAGTGCAGCGAGCCGTCTCCAGCCCTCTCTGCCACCCCTCACCCTGTTTTTAAGGGTGGTTTATGGCCATCCTTGGAGTTTTATAATGAAAAGTTCTCTATTTCATAGCAAGTGGTTGAATCCTGCAGCACCATAGTGTGACAGGGTGAGCTAGACACCTAAGAGGACATGACCAAAGCCAGGTGGGCGTGGCCGACCTGGCTGCCTCACTCCAGCATTGCCCCTGCCACTCCATGACAGTCATTTAGGAGGCTCTGGGCCACAAGATAAGTAAAAGGGCAGTTTTCCTAGTGGCAAAAACTGGAAAAAAAAATAAGCCTGCCTTCAACACCAAGTTCCGCTGGTGGAAGCAGAGTTGGGTGAGGAAAGTACTGTGAGGAGGCTAGCTAGAGGCAGAAGTCCTGGGCTCCGACTCACTGTAGTGACAAGAGTTCTCAGTCGGGTGGTCATGTGCATTGTGTTATAGGACCTGCCTGGGTTTGTCATCTTTCTGTGACTTCCTTTACAAATCAACTGAGAACTGGCCGCCCCATACCTCTTTAAGTAGTTGTAGGCCACTTTCCTCCTGTAACTTTGGAAAACAGAGGAGAGGGAGTACATGCCACACACACACACACTGCGTGTCACCAAAATGGTTGTCATTGCCTCAAGGCAGGTGGGCAGGCAGAGAGGACCGGTCAAGCCCTTGCAGATCGACCGTCTCGGCAGGCCCGAGAGCTGCGGACTCCTCCAGCAGCAAAGCTGGCCTGCGGCTTATATGTCAGACGTGAGGAGGCCAACTGGGACAAAGCCGAGGCGTTCTCCTCCCCACTGTGACTGGAGTGCATGTTTACACCAGCACTTTCTCTGCACACGTATCTTCAACAAGGCCGTTTTCTATGCTTAGTAAGAGGCCACCAAGCAGCTACTGCATTCCACCATCTAAGCAACTGACCAGTCTCTCCTGTACCATTTTCTACATCAGACCTGCTTGGCACCACAGAGAGCTCTTTACCTTACCCCTGCACAATGACATTCCAACCACCACCAGCCAGAAGTTACAGCCAAGCTTGCTGACTATCACAACCAGGACCTTGGCTCCACCGGCACTGTCGGGGACAGATAGTAAGCCATTTCCTGGAAAGGGGGGGGCTCCTCCCATCTGCTTGGACCTGTGAAAATGGCACTTCAAAGGAATCCCCGTGTCCTTGGAGTCCATAAGCCAATGGGATATGCAAAGACACTTAAACATTTCAGGGCTGGTTTCTCTGTTCATATCCAATTCTGGTGCTTAGAAACAGGGACCCATGCTGGTGCCCAAGGGCAAAGAGTCCCATTTCCTTTGAAGAAGGGGGCAGGCCTGACCCTGATGCCCAGTAAGGGGCAATCCTAGGCTTTTTGTTTTTCTTGCTTTTATTCCCCACCCTTTTTTGTTGGCCTTGTGCTGGGTTTGTTTACAAAAGATGTATTTTGTTTAACCAAATATTAAAAATGGAAAATCTGTACATAAGCCTCATGTCTGCCTGAATTCTGTAATTCCAAACATGAAGGAACAAAGGGTAAACACAGTGTGATGCTGCTTTAGGAGGAATCCACTCATGCCCATAAGCCGTCTTCTAGAGATACAAGGTGCTCAGTTGCAATTCGTGTCTCTGCCCTTCTGAAATGGTCTGATTTCGAGGTGTGCATGTATCAGAAGTACACACATAACACTTAGGGCTGGAATCATTTTTAATATTTAAATATAAAAGTGAGCACTGGCTCTTACTGTCTTAGATGGACACACAGGTCTAACAGCCAAAATGTGCAGCGGAAGTAAGCCGCTCTGCCCTCCCATCCCCATCCTGTGCTTTTAAGCTGCCACCAGCCTGTCTTCTTTTCCAAAATACATGGAAATTCACAGTGGCTGCTTTTACACTGCAGCTATAATGCTTTTGTATTTCTCACGGTGTACACATCAAAACAACAGCTGGTAACGATCAGGGGTACGTCCTTCCCAATGGCCCCCACATCAGCTACTGAGATCTGGTCGGGAGTCAATTTAGCAAAAGACATGGATGGCCAGAGTGGAGGAACCACCTGCACTGCCGCACTCTGGTATCGGAGTGAGGACAGAACTAGTAAGTCAGGACGGCTTGGAGGACACAGTTGCAAGTAGGGAGTCCAACCAGGTTTGGATAGGCCAGTGTACCCAAGTTTCAAAGAAAAAAAAAAACACATCAGGAGTTCAAACACTATTCAATTTTCAAACTTCTGCCAAGACAGGTCAGCTACAGCAGTAACAATCTAGATCTTTCCAGGAAGTGAAGGTAGAGCCCCTGGCATTCCTCCTGACAGCCCCGTGTTAGGCCCTAGAAGTATCTGGAACAGAAAAGGAAGGATGTAAGGCACTGTACAGACCAAGGATCTCATTTTTCATCCTCCGTAAAAGGGGGCAGACAAGTTCTTCAAAACAATGCTGATAGCACAATTGAGAACATGGAACAGATCCCAACCTCTACCCACACACGAACCGCCGGTCCAGCCAGGTGCGGGAGCCGTAACCAAGTCGTGGCTCCATCACTGGCAAAAAGCCCAGGGCCTGGGCTCACCTGCCGCTGCTGCAGTTGCTGCTGCTGCTCCATCTGCAGCTTCTCGGTCTCGAAGACAACAGGGAGAACCAGGATCATGAAGGAAGTTGTCCCGATCCACAAGGCTGCCCTAGAAAACCTGCAGGAGAATGTGTCAGCACTACGGTGAAGCAAACCAGGCAACTGCACCAAGAAGGAACAAAGTTTCCCATGCTATGTACGCCAGTGTTTTTGATAAACGTATTCTACCCAACTCTTGCCCCATACTCCGACCAGAAATGCGAGCAGCAGTCCTGGTAGCTGTATATCTAGTGAGAGCAGTTTTAACACTCTCCTGAGTTCTTACAAAGATACGAATACGTTAATTATCTCACCTACTCTGAAACGACCCTAATAAGGCCCCTGCCCGACAAGAATCCTCACTTTATAGAATAGCTAACTAAGACTAAGAAAGATTAAGGTACCACAAGTCCAAGGTCATTCAACGACCTTAGGTGGCAGGCTGGCTCCCAACCCAGGTATGCTACCTCAAAGCCCGTGTTCATTCATGGCACCCCAGACACACTCCGCCGTCTTTGCCCTTGTCCCTTACCTGTACATTTTTTGAGCCACAAAGAGGGAGAGATCAAAAGTGGCTCCGGCCGCGGACCGGATCCTCTCCGGAAACATCTCCGTCAGACCCCAGAGTCTTTCCAACAGGGTCTCATCCGGCTGTGGTGGAGGAGGCCCGGAGTCTTGGCCGAAGCGGCGGTAACCTCCTCCCGACGCCGGGACACGCCGAGCCGCCCACCGCCACCCCGGAGCTAGGGCACCCTGGGCCCAGAGGAGTCCCTAACTCCGCTTCTCGGAGAAGACGCTCCGACCTCGCCAGGCTCCGCTAAGTGCCTTTGCCCCGGTCCCGCAGCACGCGGAGCTCACACTCCCGGGCGGGACGCTCCCGACTGGAACCCCGCTCCCCGTCCCGCCCGGCCCCGCGGGGCCCCAGTACCTCCTCGTCGTCTTCCTCTTCCAGCTCCTCCTCAGTCCTCTCGGCATCACCCTTCGGAGGCAATTCGTCTGGGGACAGTGGAGCTCCAGGGCCAGCGGCGGCAACGGCGGCAGCCATGGCTGTAAGGAGACGCCGGAACCGGAAGAAGGAAGGCGAGTGTAGCGCGGAGCGGAGGATAGAGCGCCTTCCGGGAGCCGGAGGCCCGAGCGCTGCAGGCGAGTGACGCCCTCTGGCCCGGAGTCAGGAGGCAGCTGAGATTTCAGTGGAAATGTATACCGGGTAAACTTTCTCAATTATGGAATAATTCTGCAGTAATTCTGGTTAGGGGATTTCGCGGGTTCAGAAACCTGCATTTTTAACACACCTCCCATGGATCCCATTTATTTTATTTTTAATTATAGATTAATGTATTTTAATAGCAAACTTACAGGAACAGCCCAGAAGACATTAAAAATGTGCTTGCATGTAGGACAGCTCAGAAAAGCATAGCGAATGGATAAAATCTACCGTGATAAAAAATGCTACAAACACCACTTAGTTGCCATCAATAAGAAATTTACTTGTTTTTAAAAATCCAAAGCTGGCATCATCCAGAAAAATTTAGCAGGGTTATTTATATTGTCATAAAGTTGAACTGCTAAAATTGTTCACTGGAACATTTTGACCTGTGTTAATGCTTTATGTCCCCACATTTATATTTTAAAAATTCACACACACATGAAAATGGAAAAACTGCCAACACCTGATTTCTCACTTCCTCTGTTCCCTATTTTCCACTTGCAATCGTATACTTAGATACCTTTTGAGTCCACGTGGGGGGTGGGGGAGAGAAAACATTCAGAACTACCAATAACAGGAAGAGATTTTTTTTAAACAAGGAAATGTTTCCCATCATAGTGGATTTTAAGCACATTCTCCATGTATGCGGCATGCTAGCTGGATGTCTTTTTGGTGTAATTGTTACATGGTTGCCATGGACAGCACACAGGTTGGTGTCTTCAAAAAGGCCAACCAGATAGGCCTCACTCGCCTCCTGCAGAGCACCAGTAGCTGCACTCGGGAAGCGCAAATCTGTTTTCAAGTCCTGAGCGATTTCTTGCACCAAACACTGGAAGGGAAGTTTGTGAATCACAACTGAGACACAACTGAGAGTCCCATTACATGGCATTCTCTCCCAGGACCTACTCCACTAGTTTGGCTAAAAAAAAAAATAACAACAAACAAACAACAAAGAAAAACTCCCTGATTAGCAGATTTCTCCCTATTCTCCTAAGGAATGCTTCTGGAGGTCTTCACTTCCTTCTCCGGTTGACACTCTTCAGTTCATTCAATTCCTTCTTCATTATTTGGAATTCGGCAGTGGTCTCGGAGAACTGAAAGTAAAGCAGCAGACTGTTAGAAAGGACATTTCTGGGCTGTTTCAGGTTTTTCAAGGCCAGCCCTGAGCACTGGGGAAAGGCCCTGGGCATTCCTCTAACACCGCCAGCTGGCCTCTGCGACAGGAACCGCTTTGTAACTGGGCAGAATGTAACCACCTCAAGTACTTGAAGAACACAATCCACTCCATCCATGGTTTTTTAAAAATAACTTAATATATTTTAAAAAAAGCTTTTATTTATTTATTTTCAGAGAGAGGGGAAGGGAGGGAGAAGGAGAGGGAGAGAAACATCGATATGTGAGAGATGCATCAATCAGGTGCCTGTTGCAGCCCCAGCTAGGAACCTGGCCTGTAACCCTGGCATGAGCCCTGACTGGGAATTGAACCGGCGATCTTTGGTTCACAGGCCAGCGCTCAATTCACTGAGCCACACCAGCCAGGGCTCCATCAATGTTTTTGATCACCTAGGATTGCATGACACTCATTGTGTTAACAGCAGCACACCCCAGGGGATGAAAAAGGCAGAGATACTGGTGATTCTAAGCTAAAGGATTAATTGCTTCTAAGCTGTAGCTCCCATGATGCATAGGGCGAAAAACGTTTCAAAAAAAGAATGCCGCTTTCACCGGAATCTTTCAAGGGACTTCAGATATTCACGACAGGGACAGAGAGAACAACACTCTCTGAAGTAGAGGTCAGCTTACTATGAAGTAAGAGCCATACTTCCCGAGCAATCTGCTATCCTGAGTGCTTTACTTGTACGATTAACTCACTGCTAGTGACTCCCACTGTCATGCCTAGTTAATTGCTGATGAAACTAAGTTCTTCACACAGATCTCATAAGTTGCCTAAAGCCACACGACTGGTGTGCAGCGGGGCAGGAAGCCAGGAAGTCTGAGTCCAGACCGGGCGCTCTTAACCACTCCAGTGTACGCCCTCCTGCTTCTCAGTCAGCCTTCACGTGTCTCTCTGGGCCCAACAGGCTGCTGGGCTTTGTTGTTGTTGCCGTTTTAATCCTCAACTAAGGACATGTTTATTGATTTTAGAGAGAGAGGAAGAGGGTGGAGAGACAGGGGATGGGAGGGAGAGAGAGAGAAACGTCCATCAGTTGCCTCCCTTAACGTGCCCCACCACAGATCAAACCCAAACTAGGTATGCACCCTGACTGGGAATGGAACCACAGCCTTTCTGGTGTGTGGGACAACGCTCCAACCGACCGAGCCCCCCAGCCGGCGTGGCTGCTGGGTATTTATTGGCCACAGGAAACAGAGGCTGGTGCAGAGAGCTCCTGGGCAGGTCTGCACCAGGCACAGGCGAAGGCCCGCACGGGACAGGACACCTCCCAGCCATGAGACAGCCCTCCTTCCCTTCATCCCAGCCTCCGCTCCTCCCTTCGTTGTTCTGCACTCAGCTCAACTACCCGCTCCTGTGTGGCGCCCTCCTGGCTCGGAAGGACTCTCTCTCTGTCTCTCTCTCTCGCTCTCGCTCTCTCTCTCTCTCTCTCTCGCTCTCTCTCTCTCACGCGCTCACACCAGGCCCTGTACAGACTCTGAATGCTGCCTGTACCACGAGGAACTGTCATCACCTTTGTCCTCCATCCCCCGCTCTACTGGGAGTGCTTGAGGGCAGGGACTATGTCTGATTTCGGTTGTATCTTTGGATGCAAAGCACTGTCCCTGGGCACACGGGCACCTACAAGGTATGAGCTGCACGGGCCGACTCGAGGTGGAGCCTCCCTTGGAAGGGGAGCCCAGGCAGCCCCTCCCATCACCTTCCTCACCATGTCAAGCAGGAGGTCCACTTTCATCTGCAACAAACTGTTCTCTTCTTCCAACTGCTGGTTCCGCTTCCGGAGGCGCAGAGCCTCCCTCTGGTCCACGCCTCCACTGATCCCTGCCTCTGGTGGAAAGACAGGGGCGGCAGTTACCAGGAGGGTCTCCTCCCACAGTCCTGCTAGACAAAACGGCAGGAAACCAGCACACCTGCTATCCAGTGGCCATTTTCAAACTTCAGGTTTTGTCCGGCCAGGTTCATAGTGGGGGTTCCATAGTCAAGGCCCAGCTCCACCTCCCGGGTTGACCGATCCAACTGCGGGCGAGACACTGCGTGCCACTTCAGGCGGCCGCCACAGCCCTCACACTGCTGTCCCAGCGCCTCTGCTAACCACAGGCCCCCGGTAATTCCTCTCTCTCCTCTGTTCATTGCCCAACACATTTAACAATGCTTTCTGAAGTCAGAAAATCAAGTAACGTGTGACAAACACTTTTAAACTGTAAGAAAAATGAAACATACTGCTTTATATAATAGACGTTTTCTGAAACAGTTATCTATGTTGAAATTCGTAAAATGAATTCTTTTACATCTACTGTGAAAAATCCTTTTTTGAAGTGTAATGAGCCCAAGTTATCAGCTGCTTTCTGTGGAGGTATATGCAGGGTCGAGCAAAAGTAAGTTTACAATTGTGAATATGCAAAACACAGTTTATTCCTGTATCATTACTTAGTGGATTATTGCATTATTTTCCATACGAACCACTGTAAACCTGCGTTTGCCCACCCCGAGTGCCATGGACAAGCATCAAATGCTAATGCCCCACTAGCAGTAGCTGTATCATCCGACGTTTCTGCCCCTCACGGAGCACCACCCTGCGTCGGGCCTAGTGCTGGGTGTTCAGAGATGAACGCAGCCAGCTCTGCCCTGGAGGAGCCTGGACAAGTGGCCTGGGGAGCTGTGACAGAGCCTTCTGAAGGCCACGGATGGTGGCAGAACATCATCTTTTCGGAATGACTTGATTCTTAGACGTGACTGAAATCGACTCCTGGCCACGTCTTGGGCGTAAAGTGAAGTCAAATTGGATAGTACACGGAGCCAACCACCACGACGCTGACTGCCTTGCTGGGTTCCCGAGCAAGCTCTGACGGCGATTTCCACGGAGGAGTTGAAGTGATGTCAGCAGGAGCAGCAAGAGTGAAGAGCATGCCCCCTCCTCGGGTGCCTCTAGAGGACCCCACTCCCCACCCGGGACCAGCTCTCCCCTCGGCCACACGCACCCCGGGCTGCCCCTCGTCCTGCCACTCACGTTATGCAGGTTGGACAGAGAGGCAGACTTCCGAGGCGGAGTCTTCTTCGGGCTGAACGTGTTCCCAAAGAGAGGCATCTTCGGCCTGACGAAGGAAAGGTCGATGTTCCCTGTGCTGGGGGCAGAACAAGTCATGGGTACAAGCAGTGGAGTGAGCGACTTGTATGTCACTGCCCTAAAATCACTGCAACATACATCCTCTGGGGCTCGCCACAGCCCTGGCAGAGGCCCCCACATGTCCAGGGCTCGCCACGTGCCAGGCAGGCAGTACGCTGCAGCCTTTGCACGGAGAATCTCGGCTCTCGCACCCAGCCTCGGTAAGCTCCTCTCGTTATCCCAATTTGACAGATAAGGTTTAGAAACACTAAGGTCCTAAAAGGGAGCTAGAATTTGGATGCAGGTGTGTGCGGCCCTCCAGTTTCTGTTAACAAAGGCAAGCACCTGTCCTGCCTGTGTTAAACTTTGTCACAAGCTGACATCACCAGATGCATAGTCTGGAGCGAAGGATGCAATTCTACTTACTCCCGTACAATGGCGAGAATCACACTAGGCAATAGCTTTGGCATAGACTCCATTTTAAAGAAATGAAGCTGTATTTATACTTCACTTTCAGATAGATAACAGTGCCCCTCACTCAATGTATACATCAAAGGTCACCTGTCCTGTAGGTAGGTGAGGTGTCCAGTGGAAGGAGGCGGCCCATAACATGGCAGAGCTGACATCGCCAATATCTAACGGATGAGGAAAAGGAAGGGTCTGCACTAACTGCCTTTTAAGTCAGATCCCATCATCCACAAACAGCTCTGGCAGAGACCCATGCATGGGTCCTGAAACATTTGGGTGGACCTGGAGGACCCCTCGGCAGCCTTCTTTCTAGCGGAACTCCCCGGGGAGAGCCGGCTTGGCAGGCTCAGCACAAAGGAAGTGAACAGAGCATCTGGGTCCCACCCGTTACCCTGCGCTCCCCCGCCCCCACAAGCGGGACCCTGGGCCACAGGCTTCTTTATTTGTGATCAGGGAAAACAACAGTACCAGACCCGCCGGTGGTTAAAGCGCTTTAGTGTTTATAAAAAGCCGTGCCATGTGATGCTCACAGCAACACAGGGATGTCCCCATCTACGAATCAGGGACCGGAGGCTCAGGGAAGCTAAGTAACTTGCCCCCAGCAAACCGCGGGAAGGTGGTGGAACTGGGCTTCAAAACAAAGCCTAAAGCTCTGCGCCGACGAAGACAATCACTGCATCACTGTACAGTGCTTCCAGTTTGCAGTGGGCCATCAACTACACTATCTTATGTTAACCTAACAAGAAAATGAGCCTTCGGCTTTCATCGGTTTCCCAAAGGGATCCGCGTCGCCCAGGGTTCAGAGGCAGCCAAGTACGCGCCGCGCGGGTACCCGGCTCCCCCCAACGCGGCTCGTGGATTCAGTGGACGGCAGCGAACAAACGTTCGCTCGCGTGCCCTTCACAGCCCACCTAGGGGAGGAATCACTATCCCAATTTACAGTCAAGGAAAAACACTTCGACAGGGGCTGTCACCAGCTTGGGGTGAAGCCTGCCTTCGCCCCCTGCCCGGCGCCCTCGGGCCGCTCCAGCTGCCGGGAGGCGCTGGGTCCCCTAGGGAACGCCCGGACATCCTACCCTTCTTCAGCCCTCCGGAGACGCCGGGATGGAGACGTACTCTACAGGTTCCAGAAACCGGGTTCCAAATAAACGCCTACACCACCCGCAAGCCAGCCCCGAGGGTTCACCGTCCCCGCGGGCCACGCCACCGCCCGCCCGCCGCGCGCATGTGCAGCCCCGCCTCGGCCTCTACCACCGAGAAAGTGGGGGTGCCAGGCGCGGCGGAGCCCACTACGAGAGCCTCTGGGAAGCGCCAGAAACCCTCGAGGACTGCCCTCGATATGTTAAATGGACTCCACAAAGGGATTGTCTTCTGGAATCATTTACATGTCCCCCTGATATAGGATAGAACGAGGAACTACACTCGCTCTCCCCCCGGATCCATGGGTCTGGTTTCTCTAACTTACACTGGCCGTCACCTTGGTAACCGCGTCTGGCGGCGCGCGCGGAGGTTCCATTGTTGTGGGACTGGGGGACGTGGTGGTCGCGCCTGGCGTTGCCTGGAGAATGCCGGGACTCACAGTAGCAAAATGGGCCTCTCCCTGTTTGCCCCTCTGCTCTTCCTCCCTCGCGACTACAAAGCAAAGGGCACCCCTTCCTAGTGGGTGTGGAGGCAACAGGCGTCCGCTGTCGCATGCAGAACTTTGCAGGGTCACCTGAGGGAGCTGTGACTGAACCGGCCCCGAGTTCGCGGCCCTGGCCGGCGTCCTCAGGTAAGCCCGACGGAGGAACGGTGGCCCACCCTCCCCGCCTGCCCACGCCCGACTCTCTTCGGTTTATACAAGCGGTGGAAACTGAGGCTCAGGGGCCGCTTCGCGGTCTCACAGTGAGCAAGGGGCAGGGAACTTCTACAGAGTCAACGCTAGGTCTCCCGCAGTCCTCACCCAGTGTGTTCGTAGTTGCATTTGATAAATGAAGAAACTCGGGGTGCCTGGTGGGTGCGGGCTGTCCAGACAAGGAGGTGCAGCACCCATGCATGGGTCTGCGGCTCCGAGTGTAATTTTCTTCCAGCTACACCTCACTGCATCGAGAAGGGGAGAGTTCCACGTCCTAGAACCAAAATCTGCACGGTCTAGCCCGGCGCTGGCCGGGAAACATGATGTGGGCCGCATATGTCATTTAGAATTTTCTGGTAGCCATATCTTTAAAAGTGAAAAAAAAAAAAAAGAGCAAATCAGGTGATATTAATTTGAATAATATTTAACTCCAAGTGTCTCGAATATTATCATTTTAATGTTGTGTAATTAATATATTTAAAGTGGTACTGCTTCATTTTCTAATTTTTTAAAAAGATTGTATTTATTTATTTTTAGAGAGGGGAAGGGAGGGAGAAAGAGAGAGAGAGAAATAACAATGTGTGGTTGCCTCTCACATGGCCCCCCACTGGGGACCTGGCCTGCAACCCAGGCATGTGGCCTGACTGGGAATCGAACCAGCGACCCCTTGGTTTGCAGTCCTCGCTCAATCCACTGAGCCACACCAGTCAGGGCTCTAAATTTCTTATGTATTTTATTTTTAGTGAGAGGGGAAGGCAGGGAGAAAGAGAAGGAGAGAAACATCCATCCCCTCTGGCACGCGCCCCAACAGGGGGCCGGCCACAACCCAGGTACGTGCCCCGGCCATCTTTCCCTTTGCGGGAGGACGCTCCACCCGCACTGAGCCACACCGGTCAGGGGTGCTGCTTCATTTTCATATTGAAATAAAAAGGTTACCTCTTCAGTCGCACACCGACCCAGTTCAAAGGGCTTGCCTGTCACACGTGGCTTAGTGGCTGCTGTGATGCACAGGTCTAGCCTTTTCCTACCTTTCTGCCCTGCGCCCCTCTGCTTGGATGGTGTTTCCCCTCTCCTTTTTTTTAATTTAAATTATTTTATTGTTGTTCAGTTACAGTTGCCCATGTGTTCTCTCCACTTCCTCCCCTGTCCTTTTATCTAACTAAATCCTGCTCTTCCTTCAAGCCTTGGCCGTGCTGACTCGGTCAGGGCCCACTGTTGCGTCATCTTGTAGCACTGTGTGACCCTTCGAAGATGTGGTCAGAGTTATTTATTCACGATTACTTCATCTAATTGTTTGGTCATCGTGCCTCCCCGAGTAGACACAGCTCCTTCGGGGCAGGGGTCAAGTCTGGTCAGCTCCCCCTCCTGTCCCCGGGAGGAAGAGACTGCTGGCTTGTGTTAGGCACTCTCACTAGGCATTGAGTTACCCAAGGTTAAACTGAATACAAGTCAACTTGTGTTTTTTTTTAAGATTTTATTTATTTTTACAGAGAAGGGAAGGAAGGGAGAAAGAGAGGGAGAGAAACATCAGTGTTTGTGAGAGACACATCAATCTGTTGCCTCTCACACGCCCCCTACTGGGGACCTGGCCCACAACCCAGGCATGTGCCCTGATTGGGAATCGAACCTGCCACTTTTGGGTTCCAGGGCTGGTGCTCAATCCACTGAGCCACGCCAGCCAGGGCAAAAGTCAGTTTATTTAAAATATGTTGACTTAAAACAAGGACGTTCCAGTCTCAGCTGCCGGAATCTGCTTCGTGAGGGCAGGATGTTTCTCACTGTTCTCCTCACCTGCCCCCGGCGCACAGCGCAGCGCTGGGCACGGGGTAGACACTCAGCTGAGTCCCCTCCCCTGTCCTTTGTTCCTCCTTAAGTGCTGACAATACAAACTTAATATGTTTCAGAGAACACTTATTCTAAAACGGTATGATGAAACATTCAGAAGGGAACAAACTATGTATTTTTAACATTTCTCTAAGAAAGCATAATATTCAATTCTCCCCATTAGACATGAGTAATAATGTTAAGCTGAAGCAAGACGCTTCGTGACAGGGTCACGCTGAACCTGGCTTCTCGGAGAACATGTAATTTGCCAGTCACGCTGGAGAGGGGGTGGGAGGAAAGTGAGGAGCCCTACAATGCACCTGCCTGCTCCCACCCGTCTCCCCCTTGCCTGTTAGCTAAAGGCGAGGAGCAGGAGGGAGGAAAGAGTATTGACCTGGGTCTGGGCCAGCCCTTCCCATGATCCCCCTGACTTGAGGTGGCCCGAAATGGACAGTCTCTTTGGACTAGAAAGAAGTGTGGTGGAAATCCCTAAGGAGGAATCCCTAAGGAGGAACTTCCCTAATGGAGAAAGCTGTAAAAGCAAATCATTCCACTTTAGTATTATAAGCGCCGTGACGGAGAGGTGAAAGCGGAACCCTGGGCTGCACAGAGGACAGGGTGGTGCTAATGACCCGGGGCGAGTGAAGAAGGTCTTCCAAAAGATGCATCATCCAGCGGAGCTTTGGAGAGAGGGAGCAGCCCGTGCAAAGGCACAGAGGCGTGAGGCACAGCATGGCAGGGCCAGGAAGGAGTTCGTGGGGCAGGCCGGTGGGACACACGCCTGGGGAGACGAGGGTGGGACCGAAGGCGTGAGCAGGAGGAGAGCCAGGGAGGCGCGGGGAAGGGCCCCTTGCTTGAGTTTTCCACCAAACTCTGCTTCCATTTTCTCTTTCCTTCCATTCTGTATGAGCGTCTGGAGGGCAGATGGCAACGTTTTTCCCTCACTATAACCAGGCTTCTGCCGCCAGGTCGTGGATGTGGAGGACCCACAGGTGGTAGTGGTGAACTCCTGGCTGCAAAGCAAAGGCCCAGGAGGCAGGGTAGCGGTAGGGCCAGTTTCTGGAGAAGGAGCAGGAGCCTCTGGTAGATCAGGCCCCTCATGCTGAGGAGATGGACCCGAGTCAGAGAATCACAGCTGAAAGGGGTCGGTCTCAGGGACCTTGTCCGTATCTCTGGCTTCCTGGGTGAGGCTCAGAGAGGCAAACAAGGTTTGATTTTATTTCTAATTTGTAGACTCGCTTGCTGGGTCCTCTGGAGCCTGAGCCTTTTCAGCATCTCAGTCTCCTTGTTTTTATTTTTTTTTAAGATTTTCTTTGATTTATTTTTAGAGAGGGAAGGGAGGGAGAAAGAGAGAGAGAGAGAAACATCAATGTGCGGTTGCTGGGGGCCATGGCCTGCAACCCAGGCATGTGCCCTGACTAGGAATCGAACCTGCGACACTTTGGTTCACAGCCTGCGCTCAATCCACTGAGCTACGCCAGCCAGGGCCTGAGTCTCCTTATTTTTAAAACTACAATTGTCCCTTTAACTTATCATGGGGTTTTTTTTTTCAATCAATAGGTATAGCACTTTAAATATTTTCTCTTCTTTATGATTTTTTAAAACATTTTTATTTATTTATTTTTAGAGAGAGGGGAAGTGAGGGAGAAGGAGAGAAACATCAATGTGTGGTTGCCTTGCACGCCCCCTATTGGGGACGAGGCCAGCAACCCAGGCACATGCCCTGACTGGGAATTGAACTGGCAACACTTTGGCTTGCAGCCCATGCTTAATCCACTGAGCTATACCAGCCAGGGCTCTTCCTTATGATTTTTAAATAATATCTTCTGTTTTCTAGTTCACTTTGTTGTAAGAATACAGTATATAATACATATAATTTACGAAGTGTGTGTTAGCCGGCTGTGTAGGCTATCGAAAAGGCTTCCAGGCACTCCATAATTCGGTTCAGGAGTCAAAAGTCATATGTGGATTTTCCACTACATGGGGGCAGCCCTTCCTCATCCTCTTACTGTTTGAGGGTCAAGTGTATAACAGTGTCGTTGGGGCTGGGGTGGGGAGCATCAGCGGGGAGAAAGGCAAGGTGTGAGTGCCACGGTCACTCGACAGTGGGCTTCTCAGACCGAAGCCTCCGCTCCCCACGTTGCGTGCGGCGTGTGCCTCCGGCGGCCCTGCCTGTCAGAGGAGCGCGGCGGTGCTTCTTAAGATAGTTCGTGCTCTTTGTGATTTCCAGGAGGCTGGCTGAACAGAGAACAAGATCCGTGTGAGAAATGGGAGGCCCTTAAAAGTGAAAACTTGCTACCATCGGTCAGTTTACGAGACCCTGGACAGTGGTTTATTTCAAGAAGATGGAAATCATCAACATCACCGCCATGCCCGTGGTGCCGGTGGCCGAGCCCCTGACCGTCTCACTCACCTCCGGGCACGCGATGCAGAGTGCTTCGAGGAAGAGTCTGGGAGGCAGCCTGCCCTGTATCCTTCTGTGGTGCCGCTCACGGTCGAGACCAAGTGCACCAGCCGCAGAGGTGTAACCTGCAAGCACCGAGTTTAGGACGTACATTACTTACTAACTCGTTCCTTACACATCCGTTGCTTTTCTTCATGTCTTAAGTTCTTCCTAGCCTCTAAAAGCCTTGGAGACTCTGAAGGATTATTTGATTTGACTTTGGTTTACTAAGATAATCAGAAAGAGCTCAGACAGAAGTATTGGAAATATTTGTTGAAAGAATGAGGAAGAAGAGGAAAAAAAGCTCTTTTTTTTTTCCATTGTCTCCTTCTTTCCCCTTTCCCTTCCAAAGAATTACAGTTATAGGTAGCAACTAAAGGGTCATTGTGCAGGCTTCTATCCTCAGACAAGTGAACTTAAGACTCAGTTTAAAAAATGTGTTTAAGTTGAGCTTAGAGAAAGAGAGGAAGGGAGACAGATGGACACACAGACACATTGATTTGTTGTCCGAGTAGCTGGGCATTCACGGTTGCTGCTTGTGTGCACCCCGACCCAGGACGGAGCCCCCAGCGTTGTCAAATCAGGGTGAGGCTCTAATCAATGGAACCACGTGGTCAGGGCAAAAAAAATTTTTTTACTCTGGTTGATCTGCCCTCTTCTCACCTGCCAGCGCATTTGCCTGGGCCCCCGCCTTTGCCCTTCTGGCATCATCCAGGCTCTGCCAGCATCTAACTTCTCTAGTCCTGCCTTTGTTGACCACCCCCCCACCACCACCACTTCTGACCTTGAACTATATCCCAGGGGTGCACAGAATCCCATCTCTGGACGGCTTAGAGCTTGTCCAGCAAATAACCCTCTCAGGTTATAAATAACCGCAGCTCCTTCCATCTCCTGAAGAGCTCATTTCCCTTCAAGTCACGCTGCTGCCAGCCAGACTGCACAAACCCTGCCGGGCCTCTCCTGTCCCACACCTCTCCGAAACCCCCCTCAAGATGAGCTCGTGGGAGCTCATCAGGATCTGCTTCACTGTGCCTTGCTTTCCTGAGCCTTTTCTAATGCTCCTTCTTTCTTCTTAATCCCACACTCATCTCGTCCTAACCAACCCACTGGGTTTGTTATGTCCCTCCTCGGCACCTTCATTTGTCACGTACCCTCCGGTTTGTAAGAACCCTTGAAGGTAATGGAAGAAAGAGTGACTCCTGCTTTTTGTGAAGGCAGCGAGGAGTGATGGGATTATGGGGCTTTTACGGAGGATATGTCCTGGACCAACTGAAGCTCAGACAGAAGGGAATTCAGAGAGAGAGGAACACCAGATGGGCCAGGGAAGTGGGCAAAGATTTGGACAATGATAAACAAGGTCGAGATGCACTTTGACCCAGGCTCCTGAAAACCTCTCTTAAGGGAGAAATCCAAAATATGGAAATAGCACTCTGTGCGACTGTGTGTGTAAATAATTTGCAAAAAGTTGTAAACAATTTAAATATTCAATAGTCAAGGAACAGCTAAGTGTATTAAGGTGCATCCTCTACAGGGATTCATATAATGCCATTTCAAACACTATGGAAATTATTTAGCTCTACGGAAGTATGTTAATGAGTGGGAGAGAAGTCAGAGTAGCCACAGGCATACACTGAGCTTGTACCTCTGCAAAAAAGTACTGGAAGGAAGTCTCCCCAAATCCTAACAGGACTTGTTAGGGTGGTAGCATAATGGATGATTGCTTTTTATGTTTTCCAAGGTATTTGGAATATAATTTTCATTTAGAATTTATAAAGCAACTCATCTTAAACAAGAGAAAAGAAGTGTTGAAAAGAAAAGAAGGGAGTGGAGGGACAGCACAGGGAAGCAGCACAGGCGGGGAAGGAGGGAGCCCTAGCCCCCGCCCCCGCCCCCGCCCCGCCCCCTTCCAACTGGCACCGCCCTGCTGGCATGTGGCACCGCCCACAGAGCTTCCTTAGCCCCGCCCCCAGCCTGCCTCATCGGCTCCATCCACCAGGTGAACCAGAAGATGGCTGAGATAGACCTCAGCCGCCAGCTGTTGGACAGCAGCCTGGTGAGTGTCGGGGGTTGGGGCTGGGCCGGGCTTTCAGGAAGGAAGGGCCCTGCCGGCCCCTCCATTTATTGGAAAGCACATCTGCCTAATAGAGGTCTCAAAGAGAAATTATTTCGTTAATGAAATTTATTTTTTAGAGCAGTTGCGGGTTCACCACAACGTGGAGCTGAACGTACAGAGTCCTCACACACCCGTCCCCACACATGCGCAGCCTCCCCGTCACCAGAGCAGCGCATTCGTTGTGACTTAGGAGCCTAAATTATGACAAATGTTGTCATCCCCCAAAGCTCGTCCTTTACATTAGGGTTCTCTCTTCGCGCTGGGAGTTTGGACAGATGTGTACCCACGTGTATCCACGTTTGGTGGGGCCTCACAGGATGACTCCACGGCCCCGGAACCCTCTGTGCCCCTTCCCCCCGCCAACCCCGGCAACCACGGACCCAGTTACTGTCTGCACAGCTGTACCTTTTCCGGGATGTCATATGGCTGGGACCCTGCAGCCGGTAGCCTTTTCGGGTTGGCTGCTTCCACTTAGTGATTTGCATTTAAGGTTCCTCCGTGCCTTTTCGTGGCCTGATGAGTCATTTCTTTTTAGTAGCTTCATGATCTGGATGGACCAGTTTATCCATCGCCCACTGAAGGACATCTTGGTTGCTTCCAAGTGTTGGCAATTTTGAGTAAAGTTGTGATAAATAGCCATGTGCAAGGCTTCATGTGGACACGATATTCAGTTCATTTGGCTGAAGACCAAGGGGTGTGACTCCTGGACGGAGTGCCGAGTGTGTTGAGGCCGGGAGATGCTGCCAAACTGTCTCTCACAGTGGCGGCGCCGTTTTCCATTCCCACAGCAGTGAGGGGAAATCCTTGTCGCTCCGCGCCCCTGTCCGCATCTGGTAGTGTCAGTGTCCTGGATGTTGGCCACTCGAATGGGTATGTAATGGTATCTCATTGTTTTCATTAGAAATTCTCTAATGGTATGTGATGTTAAGCATCTTTTTTATATGCTCACTTGCCATCTGTATTTCTCCTTTTTAAAAAAAATTTATGTATTGATTTTAGAGAGACAGGAGATGGGGGGAGAGAAACGTGGATTTGTTTTTCCACTTATCCACGCATTCAGCGGTTGCTTCTTGTATGTGCTCTGATGGGAGATCGAACCTGTAACCTCGTTGTATTGGGGCGACGCTCCGACCCACGGAGCCACACAGTCAGGGCTGTATGTCTTCTGAAGTGAGGTGTCTGTTAAGTTCTTTGCTCCATTTGTCAGAAAAATGTATTGCTTTTTTTAGAGAGAAAAAGGAAGGGAGGGAGGGAGGGAGACATGAATTTGTTGTTGCACGTACTTAACCGTTCACTGGTTACGTCTTGTATGTGCCCCGACCGGGGATGGAACCTGCGACCCTGGCGCATTGGGGCGATGCTCCGAGTGACTGAGCTGCCTGGCCAGGGCTTGGCTTCATTTTTTAACTGATTTGTTTATTTTCTTATTGTTGGGTTTCAAGCATTCTTTGTATGTGTTTGATCACAGTTCTTTTTTTTTATTTTAATCATTGTTCAAGTACAGTTTCTCCCTTTTACTCCCATTCCAGCCCACCCACCCATCCCTCCCCACTTCCCTCCCATTACCACCCTCCCCCTAGTTTTTGTCCATGTGTCCTTTAAACTTGTTCCTGTAAACCCTTCCCATTCTCCCCAGAAATTCCCTCTTCTCTCCCCTCTGGTCACTGTCAGTCTGTCCCCAATTTCAGTGTCTTTGGTTATATTTTGCTTGTTTCTTTGTTTTGTTGTTTAGGCTCCTGTTAAAGGTGAGATCATATGGTATTTGTCTTTCACTGCCTGGCTTGTTTCGCTTAGCATAATGCTTTCCAGCTCCATCCACGCTGTTGCAAAGGGTAGGAGCTCCTTCTTTCTTTCTGCTGCATAGAATTCCATTGTGTAAATGTACCATAGTTTTTTGATCCATTCATTTACTGATGGGCATCTAGGTTGCTTCCAGCACCTAGCTATTGTAAATTGTGCTGCTATGAACATCGGGGTGATCACAATTCTTTATTGTGCGTGTCCTTTACAGCTCGGTTCCCCCAGGCTGTGGCCCGTGTCCTCGCTCTCTCGACTTTGTTGCGGAGCAGGTTTCAATGTTAATGAAGCCCAGCTACCAACCGTTGCTTCCGTGGATCGTGTCTTTGGTGTTGCATCCAAAAGGCTACTGCCTTACCCAGGGTCATTAAGTTTTTCTCCTGTGTTACCTTCTAGGAGTTTTATAGGTTTGCGTTGTACACGCAGGTCTATGAGCTGTTCTGAGTTAATTTTTGTGAAGAGCGTAAGGTCGGGGCCTCGGTTCACTTGCTTGCGTGCGGGTGTGCGGTTTCAGCACTGGTTGGTGAAAAGACTGTTTTTGCTGCATTGAGTTGCCTTTCACCCTTTGTCCAAGTTCGGTTGACTGTGTTTATGTGGATCTGTTTCTGGCTCTCTGTTCTGTTCCACCTATTGTCTGTCTGTTCTTTGCCAATGCCACCCTGTCTTGATTACCGTTGTTCCATAGTGACTCTTGCAGTCAAGTAACGTCACTTCTCCTTCACTATTGTGTGTGCTTTTCTGGGTCTTTTGTCAGTCTGCACCCAGTTTAGAGCTGGTTTGTCAGTGTCTTCTCCTGTGGCCAGAATGGTTTCTCTCGCCTCCATGCCACCCTACGGGATGGCACTGAGGAGCGCAGGGCCCGTGAGTGGGTAAGAAGCGCTCCCTAGATGCGTACAGATGCACGATGCACGAGGGAGCCCTGCCCTGCCGAGTCCCAGACCCTCCTGCTGGCATCTCCTGTGTCTGCTCCCTCTCTCGTGCCCTCCGTGCCCTCCGTGCGTGTCTCCCCCAGGCTCTGGCCGTGAACCTGGTGTAGCGTCGAGGCCAGTCTCCCTCGGGAGCGTGTTCGCCGGTCATCACAGCTTCACCACTCACTTCAGAGGCAGGCGCGTTGCTTCCGCTCGCTGCTTCTCGGCCGCTCCACCCAAGACGAGTGCAAGTGCCCCTTCTGGGCACACTCCTGTCACCCTGTCCCTCCCCACAGCAGCTCCACTCACCTCTTGGTCACCGGCTCCTCCCACCACTCCGGGCCCTCGTAGGGCAGGGACGGCGACACTGCACGCTGCAGCATCTTTCTCGACAGCCGCACAGCGTTGGGCTGTTCGTTTGGCTCGGGGAATACGTGTGGGGTGGATAATACATTTGCAAATTGTAGCTTCTGGCCTGTGTCGCAGTCTCATGTTCCCAGCCACCTAGAGGCGGGATACCTACCCCTAACGAATCATCTGGGTGCCCTGGAGCTTTCGAAAACTCAAAGTGCAAATTGCAAGGTCTGGGGCCGTGTGCCCCTTGATTGGCCCCGTTTGAACGGAACTGCTCTGAAAGGCTCCTGCAAGATACGAAGGGTGCTGGGCAAGGCGTAGGAGGAAGACTTTTTACTGTGCCGTTTGATTTTATACTGTGACAATGACTGGTTTTTAAACATTTAAACAGAGCTAACTATTCAGGAGCCACAATCAACAATTCAGGACCCAACACAGACCTAAGGAGTAAGCCTCTCTAATGAGTCTGGATACCTGAGTGATCCCCCGAGATCTGGTCCCCGGCCAGGTTTGGGAGCTGCCTTCCCAGGAACAGCCCCACCCGTAGGTGCGCTGTCACCTCACGTGCAAACTCAGCCCCAGACCAGTCTCATCGCTTCCCCTAAAATTCGCTGCTGTCCAACGTTCGACTGTCCTTTCCGTGCCCTCGGTGTGTGGGGCCCTGCGCCCTCCTAAGGCCCTGACTGTGGCGGCATCCTGGGAAGGAGCAGAGACCTCGCTGTTTTGCTGCATTGCCACCCACCCACCAATTCACCATCCTCATCCTTGTGCACTTGACCAGAGCAGCGGTGTGGAAACACACCTTGCTTACGTGACCCCGTTCCCACACGCTCACGCCTGCGCACGTGCCAAGGGGCGTTTCAGTGTATCAAGCCCAGGAGACGGGTGCCTCGCCTCTTCCCCCAGCCCTCAAGCCCCGCCCCCGCTGGGCAGCCCCGACTGCTGCTGCTCACACGGGTCTCCAGGGGGTGAACCCTAAACCCCGTAGTTTCATGTTCCCCAGGCGCTGACGTGGCTCTCGGCACGGGCGGGGGCAGTTCCCGGAGGGTGAGAACACCAAAGCCCGCAGCTTTGCGGGCTCTGCGACGCAGGCGCAGTGCGTTCCGGGTGGGTGGTCGGCACAGCCCCTCAGGCCACCAACATGTGTGCAGCCTGCGTTCCTCCTCAGGAGGGGGCGGGGGTAGGAGAGGAGGCATCAGAGATCAAGAGAAATTTCTTGAGAGGTCACGTGTATAGTAATCAATAATAATAATAATACTAATTAGTCTTTATTGAGGAGCTCCTCTGTGGTAGCCTCCGTGCTTGTATTTTAAGATGCATTCGATACTTTCTATCTGATCCTTGCAAGAACCCTGAAAGGTAGGTGTCACTGGCCCCCTAACAGAGAGTAAGCAGTAGTGTGTAACCCGTGGGGCCGTGTTGGGAACGGCTCCAAGGCCTGTGCTCCTCGGAGGCGTAGCCCGGGGGAGGGGCAGCGCGAGAGAGGGTGGGTTGAGGGACATGTTGGTGGCGACACTCAGGCGCCTGAGGTCAGTGGCCACCGAGGCCCTGCCAGACACGGGAAAGGCTTAAGGCGCTGTCCCAAACTTTGCTCAGGGCGTTGGCACACCCACAGGAGAAATGGCCTCGTCCCTGACCCCCACCATCCGCCAGTATTTGTATCAATCCCTAATGTCTCATTTCTTTCTGGTTTTTGAAGGCAATTGAGAGATTTGAGATGGAGAAGAAGGCTTTAAGAGAGAAAAGTCACAGCGGCTCGGGAGACAGAGGCAAAAATCGTTTCTCATGGCCTTGATGGTGTTTTGCGGGGTTTGGCTTTTCAGTCTCTAGAATGGATCGAGTCCAGAGCTTCAGACGAGGATACTGTTGTCCTCTTCTGAAGGAGCCTTGAGCCTGACTTCTTGACATTGGGCGACAAAGGAGGGGAGGACAGTACCATTCCGAGACCCACCTGCTACGTTCCACGTGGCATCGGGTGCTTTCACCGTGTTCCCCTGTTAAGTCTTCCCGATGCCCCAACCTGCGAGGCTGGCGCCACCGAACATACTCTGTGGATGAGGAGCAGCTTGGGGGCCGGCGGCGTCCCGGCCCGTGTGTGGCCGGCCCACGCTCACCCCAGCCTGACTCCAGAGCCCATGTTTTGTCCGCCTCTCCCGGCTCCCTCTCTGGCTCACGTGGTCTGTCTGATCAAATAAGGAAGGGACTCTGGGTTTTAATTTTTAATTAAAGGTTTTATTTTATTTGAGAGAGGGAGAAAGAGAGGGAGAGAAACATCAATTAGTTGCCTCTCTCACGCCCCAACCAGGGACCGGCCCGTAACCCACACATGTGCCCCGAGCAGGGATCGAACCACGACCTTTTGCTTTGCGGGATGACGCCCGACCGACCAAGCCATGCCAGTCAGGGCAGGAAGGGACTCTTAATAAGTCAGCAACACAGGTGGGATCTAGTGGCAGTAGGGATACGAGGGTCACCAGGCAGTTCAGGGCGAGTGAAAAGTCAGAGCTGTAACTGCAGCGGCAGCGGCAGGCTCCTCGGCTACTCATGCCCCGTGCCTCTTCCATTCTCCCGCAGACACGAGCCAAAGGAAACCACAGGCTCCTTGCGGCGGCCCGGAGTCCAGGAGCGTCAAGCCGTCCACTGTCAAAAGGGTAAGGGGCCTACTCCTGGTCTCTGCCTGCCTTCTGCGGGGCATGAAGTCCCTTTTGCTCCTGAGAGGAGGGGACGTAATGGGCACCTGGATGGTGACGGTGCGGGAACTCACAGAATTCTCTTTGTGGAGGGTCTTAAAGTGTTTTAAGAATGCTAGCATTTGGCACAACTCCCTGAAAAGGGTAGAATGGGGGGCGTTCCACAGGTCGCTCATCTGTCTGTTTGCAGAACCTGCGAACAGTGCGTTCAGATCGCGCTCACAGAGCCCCTGGGCCGCACTGCTCCGAGGGCCCGTCCACACCGCAGGGCGAGTCAGCCGGTCCCTGCAGGTGCCCAAGAGGCTGAGATTCAGGCGTAGCTGACCTGTCCGCCATCATGCCTGATTGATGGCCAGTCCCCACTTCCTGGTCAGATGCTCGGACCCACAGTCAGACGCTGCCAGCCCTCTCCAGCAGCCTCCCCGTTAGGATTCCCCTGAGCTTGCTCTTTCAGCTACTTCAGTGCCCTTCAGTGAAGGAGAATGTGAACAGTACAGCATTGCTATCTTTTTAAAATCTTTTAGCTTAGAAAATTCCCACGCAGCATCAAGTTCAACAGTTGAGAGTCAGCATCGAAAAACTGTCCTATGACCCATAATGGTGGCCGACCAGATTTAAATGTCCTGCCCCAGGTGGCACAGCGCTAAATGGTGGAGCTGGCATCTGAGCCCAAGCCATCTGACTCGGTGTCGGTGCATTCAATCAGTGGTCCCCCCCCCCAGTGCGGGCACCATGGCCCAACGGAGAGCAGGTCCGCCCTCGGAACGTTCCCGGCAGGCGCCTGTGGCTGCTGGAAGTTGGTTTCCTCTTTCTACTTTTCCGTAGTTTTACATTTTCTTAGTCCTATTTTATTTTTACTTTAAAAATCCTTTTAATGATATATATTAAGAACCATAAGGATAGTCATATTCTTTGACCTCATATTGACATTTTGAGAAAGTCATACTAAATAAATAACCCAAGGAGGGGGGAAACTATATGTTCCCAGTTTTATCATGAATTTAAATATAATGGCAGTAGTATTAATTGGAAGTAATTAACCGTTAATTAAATTATAGCCCATCTTATTAATAGGGTATGTTATTATATTTAATTTTTTTTTTAGAAGGGAAGGGAGAAGAAAGAGGGAGAGACACGTTGATGTGAGACAGAAGCATTGATTGGTTGCCTCTTGTACACGCCCTGACTGGGGACCGAACCCACAATCCAGGCACAAGCCCTGACTGGGAATCGAACTGGCAGTCTTTCGCTTTAGGGAGCAGTGCCCAGTCCACTGAGCCACACTGGTCACGGCTAGGATGTGTCATTTCAGATGAGAAGTTTGAAGACAGTGTAGCCATGTGAAAAATCTAAAGTTGAGCAGGACATAAGTGTGCACACGTGTGTGTAAAGTGCAGTCTCATATACACATCTATACACACGTGCTCACAGCCTGAAAGGGAAAAGAGAAACAGTGTGAGTGGGTGTTTGGTTAGGGGTGTGGGGTCGTGCCTGCACCCCGTTCTTTTCAGCATTCCGGAAGGTCGTGAAGGGGAAGATGGCCTATTGTTGGAAACCGTCAGAATGATGGAACCCCGTTTTCATGTTCTGCTTCTTTTGCTTCAGAAAACAGCAGATAAAAACCTGCTGGCAGAGCTGTACCAGTGCACCCAGTTTGACGTCTCCAGGCCAAATGAACTGCCCAACGGCGTGGGGTTCTGTGACATGGTGGACAACGTGGTCCAGTCTGAGAGGAGCACCCTCAGTGGCAAGGTGAGCAAGAGCGAGCAGCTCACCCGTGTGCCGCCCGGCCGTGGGCCCGGCAGCGCCCCAGCTTCTCCGGCACCCTGCGGCAGACGCAGCTGTCCCGGTTTGACACCCCAGGGCATTTGAGTAAGTCACTGAGGGCCACGCAGTTTGCAAGTGGCTTGGCTGAGGTTAGACCCCAAGCCCAGGTTACCTCCAAAGCCTGGATTCTTTCTACTGGAGCACTGGTCTTCAGATTGTTCTGGTCACATATTCGATGAGCAAAAAATTCTGAGTGCACCCTCTCAGGATATATATATTTTTAAATTTTAAAAAAATATTTTATTTATTTATTTTTAGAGGGGTAGGGAAGGAGAAAGAGAGGGGGAGAAACATCAGTGTGTGGTTGCCTCTTGAGAGCCTCCTACTGGGGGACCTGGCCTGCAACCTAGGCATGTGCCCTGACTGGGAATCGAACCAGTGACCCTTTGGTTCTCAGGCCAACCCTCTGTCCACTGAGGCACACCAGCCAGGGGCAGGTGTTTGTGTTTTAAGTTGACTCCAAAGTATGTTGACTCCAAAGATAGCTGATGGGAAAATGGGGTGATTAGTAACAATGACGAAGTGTGGGACACGGAAGGAGCAGAGGAAGGTTTTGAATAGAGACACTTATGAGTCTGGCTGAGACCCCAGGTGCATAATAAAACAAGAAGAACAGTAACAGCAACAATAATAATGTGAACTTTGTTTCTGTTCAAGTCTTTCTGTTCACAGAGGGAACTGGAGAAGTATCTCTCCTCTCCCTCTCTGAGAGCCATATGGCTGGATAGCTTCTGGTGGATCTTTCATGAGAGGTTCCAGGTAAGTGCACATCTGACTGCTTCTCTCCCTTGCTCAGATTATTTTCCCATGGCACAGATCCCACCTGACCTCTTTGCCATGGGCCCTCTGACTCCGTGGACCGCCCCTGCAGCCTCTCCTGTTGCCCCACCCCTTCCCCTCCCACGCCCGTCCTCATCCCTGTGCTTTAGCCGGCTTCCCCGAGCTTTAGGGACTATTCCACTGTTCCGTGGTGTCGCAAGGCTGGGTCAAGGGCAGGGCTGAGAGTAAGGTCAGGACCTTTCTTCAGCTCTCTGCCCCTCGACACGTTGTATAAAACCTATGAAACAAACTGCTGTGTTATTTCCTAAATAACATGAGGCTAAATGTCCTGAGAATGAGATTCCTAAAATGAAGAGAAATTCTTATTTGAGAATCTCAGCCCTTGGCTCTTTCGACAAGGGACTCTAGTAATTCCTTCTCTTTTTTTTTTTAAGATTTTATTTATTTATTTTTAGAGAGGGAAGGGAGGGAGAGAGAGAGGGAGAGAGAGAGAAACATCAATGTGCGGTTGCTGGGAGGTCATGGCCTGCAACCCAGGCATGTGCCCTGACTGGGAATCGAACCTGCAATGCCTTGGTTTGCAGCCCGAGCTCAATCCACTGAGCTATGCAAGCCAGGGCAGTAATTCCTTCTTTGTCTTTCTTCCCGGTAGCCAAACAGAGAGGTCCAGAACAAGCTGTTCGACCGGATAGCGCAGCACTATGCCTCTCTCTTGTTCCACGGGTCCAGGTCCCACTACGAAGAGGCTGTCTTAAAGGTGAGTCGCGGCCACTGTTGGGGAGAAGAGATCACACGCGGTAGCTGTTCGCTTCCAGTGCCGGCGGAGTGCCCTTCACCTCTTCCCATGAGGGAGTGATCAGTGAGTCGTGTGTGTTCACACACTGAGTGTGAACGCAGCAGCTGCACACAGTGAGGCAGGTCTGTGCGTGCGGGCTGGGGCCAAAGTGGGGTTACGGTTTTTCGGATGGAAAATAATACAATAATGAATAAATAATAATACACGAATGAACCCTCTTTGGGCACGTATTCACAACTGTAAACCCACTTTTACCCCACCCTGTACTGGGAAAGATATAATGATATATTTTAAGTGAAAAACAAAGCAGTTTATACAAGTCTATGTTAAAAACATATATGGAATACGTATGTGTGCCTATGAATAGAAGAAAGTATGGAAAGTATTTTCCAAACTCTTAGCAATGGTTATATTCTGGGAAATAATGTTATAAGTGACTTCCTTTTCTTTTGCTTTTAAAGATTTTATTTATTAATTTTAGACAGAGGGGAAGGGAGGGAGAAAGTGAGGGGGAGAAACATCAATGTGTGGCTGCCTCTCTCGCGCCCCCTACTGGGGGCCTGACCTGGCCCACAACCCAGACATGTGCCCTGACCGGGAATCAAATCTGTGACCCTTTGGTTCATGGGCTGGTGCTCAACCCACTGAGCCACACCACCCAGGGCTCTTTTCTATTCTGTGTATTTCTGAAGCATTTAAATAAGCATATAATTTAAAAATTAAAAGTAGAACACATATTTATTTTATATATTAACATATGTATATGTGTACTAAAAGAATTGCTAGAAGAAAATATAAGTGAATATTTGCCTGATTTGGGGGTGAGGAAGGACTTTTTTAATATGATCCCAAACAACCATAAAGGAAAAGACTGATTTAATTCTATAAATTTTTTTTAAAAATTAGTACAAAGTTAAAAGGCAAATGAGAAGCTAGGCAAAAACACCAGTACCATATACGAATATGTCACACAACAGGAAAACTCTTACAAGTCAGTAAGAAGGAAATGAAACGGCCCCCAGGCCGATGGACAAAGTTCATACACTAGAATTTCACCAGAAAAAGTTCACCCTTAACAGTAATTAAAAATACGAATGAGAACAGTAATAACCCAATACGCCTTTCTACCTGGTCCCCAGTGTTGTCAAGGGCGTAGGGAGCGGCAGTGTCGCAGTGTGCGTGGGGGGTGAATTAGTACTGCGACGCTGGGACGCACTTACATCCCCGTGGATAAGTGACCACTGAACAAGTCTCCTAGGCTTTCTGCACCTCTGCCGATAATGCCTCCCTCGCCGAGTTGCCCCAAGCAAGGGTTCAATGGGGGGCGTTTGTAAGGCATCTGGGCGTGATAAGCCCCCGGGGTATCACCGCTGCTGTCATCAACAGCGTTATTGTCCCAGCTCCTGGAAGACGTAATTTAATATCCAGGAAAAGCTGCTTTTATTCGTGCATGTATGCAGTCATTCAACAATTTTGACCGTCTGATATGTGCCAGACAATGAAATAGTTTAATAAGTAAAAATAACTCTTCAGCACAATTTGTAAGGCAAAGTCTTGGAAAGAGGATAATATTTACCAGTGGGGGGTTAAGTAAATTTTGATAACCCCACTCAGCACAAGATTATGAAGGCCAGTATCGGGGTAAAAATCCCACAGAGTTTAGAATAATTTGGGGAAGCGCTTATGTTATAATGCTAAATGAATAAAACCAAAGAATATTGTAGAATCTGAGTTCAACCAGAGTGAACAGACCGTACCACCTGTGCGTAGAAAAAAACCAGTGAGCAGTGCTTACTAGTATTATCTCTGGGGGACAACAAGGTGGGCTGGCCACAGGTGTCTTGTCCTCTTGTGGGCTGCTGTTTGGCCAGGATGCGGATGGGGCTGAGGCCGGACCGCGTACAGAGGAGCTGGAGGAGGGGTGGCCGGCCTAGCGTGTTTGAGAAGCGGTCCCCGGGTAGGGCTGTGGGTCCACCCAGCCGAGGGGCAGCCGCAGGCAGAAACCACTCCCCTCACAACCAGGAAGGCAGCGTGGTGTCAGGTAGAGGATTTTGTCACAGGCCCATTCTGACGTCAGGGGCTCTATCCCGGGAGTAGAAATGTTGCCTGAGCTCTGCTTGCCCCCCAGAGGTTGCCATCACTGCTGAGTAAGGGCCTGTACACCAGCTTCTGTTGCTGCTTCCCGCAATCCTGGTTCAACTCGCACGAGTTCAAGTCCGACGTCTGTAACACCATGAGCCTGTGGATCTCAGGTAGGAGGCGCCTGCTTTCTGCTGGGTAGAGCAGTTCTGTGAATATTTTTTCCACCCAAGTGTGTTACTGTTTGCCATCGCCCCCCCTCCACTGAAGCAGTTGTCCTTTGTTCTCCTTGACATTAAAGAAAGTCAAATGTATGGTTAGAGCTTAAGAATAGAATTTTCCTCCTTCCCCAAAACAGTTCGGAGACATTTCTTACCTCCTTTTTGTGTCCAGCCCAGAACTCAGGAACCCAAAAGCAGTATGCCAGTTAGAACGTGCCCCCCCCACCACACGCCCTGCGCCGGGCGCTGCCAGGGGCCCCCCTGGGTACAGCACCCACGGTGCCAGTGTTACGTTTGCTATTCAGCTGCTTCTCTGTCTCCTCCCCACCTCCCCCATCTCAACCCAGGCATTTTCTGAGGTCACACGAAAGACTACCATTTATCGAGAGGTTCCTGTGTACTAGGTACTGTGCAAATATAAGCACTTTTTGTTTTAAGATCTTACATCTTTTTAGAGAGAGGGGAAGGGAGGGAGAGAGAGAGAAACACCGATGTATGAGAAAAACATGGGCACCTCTCGCATGCCCCCACCAGGGACCTGTCCTGCAACCCAGGCATGTGCCCCAACTGGGAATCCAACCAGCGAATCCAACCAGTGCCCTTTCGGTTCTCGGCAGGGTGCCCAAGCCACTGAGCCCCACCAGCCAGGGCAAAGGGAGCATTCCGGTCTCGGAGACTATTCCCACGTTAGGAGATTGGCGAAGAGAACTCAGACGCTGCACTCACGGCTAAGGTTTATTGCCGTGATGTGGTAAGGATACACAGCTCACGGGGAAAGACAGGCGGAGTCTGGGGGCGTTCCCGTGCAGGCTTCCTTACTCCCTTCCCTCCCGTGAGGAGTTATGCAGAACTCTCTCCTTCTGCCACAGAAATGAAGCAACATGTGTGTGATATTTCTGGCCAGAATCTCACTTGAGAAGCAGCACCCAAGGTTTTTGCTGGGTACTGGTCACGTAGACACCGCTGTATGTCATGTACCCAAATGTCTGGAGGGCGGGTGTTTGGCATAAACCACATCGTTTTACGAGCAGTCTCTACACGGCGAACCACTCTTACCCACCACGGAAACCGTCTCCCCCTGGCTTTACTGAGATATGAGGGACATGCGACATTGTGTGAGCCTGAGGCACCGTGTGATGCTCTGATAAATGTGCTCATTGCACAGTGCTGACCGTAACACGGCTGGCTGACACGTCCTTCACCTCACACAGTTCCCATTGTCGTGGGGGCTGTTACGACGAGGGCTTTGAGGACTCACTCTCGCAGCAGGTTTCAAGTAGACAGTGCAGTGCTGTGAGCCGCCAGCGTGCTGCGCGTCTGGTCCCGAGCCCCTGCCCCTCCCGTAGCTGGAAGTGTGTACCTCTGACCGTCATCTCCCCACCCCCACCCACCAGCTCCGGGCAGCCACCGTTCTACTCTCCACTTCTGAGTTCACCTTTTTAAAAAATTAGGCCCTGGCTGGTATGGCTCAGTGGATCAAGTACCAGCCTGAGAACCAAAGGGCCGCTGGTTCGATTCCCAGTCAGGGCACTTAAAAAAAAAGAAAGAAAATTAAAGTTTAAAAAAAATGTTGTTGTTCAATGACAGTTGTCCCCATTCCGCACTCCCCTTACTCTCCCCTGTCCTATCCACCCCCACCTCCCACATTAAATCCTCCTCCAACCTTGGCTTTGTCCACGAGTCCTTTATACATGTTCCTTGATGACCCTTCCCCTTCTTTGCCCCATTCCCCCTTCCCCCTCCCCTCTGGTTACTGTCAGTTTGTTCTGTATCTCCATGTCTCTGGCTCTATTTTGCTTACCTAAGGAGCTCCTACCTTTGCGACAGCATGGATGGAACTGGAGAGCATTATGCTGAGTGACACAAGGCAGGTGGTGAATGACAAACACCATATGATCTCACCTATAAGTGAAACCTAATCAGCAAAACAAACAAGCAAGCAAAATAGAACCAGAGACATGGAAATGAAAAACAAACTGAGTTCAGCTTTTTAAGATTCTAAACATAAGTGAAATCATACAGTATCTGTCTTTCTCTGACTTATTCCCCTTAGCATAATGTGCTCCGAGTCTGTCCGTGTTGTCACGGACGGCGGGATTTCCTTCTTTTCATGGTTGAGTAACAGTCTGCGTGTGGGTGCACCTCCTCTTCTTTGCCCGCCACCCATGGGTGGGCGTTCGGGGGTTCCGTGCCTTGGCTGTTGTCGGTAACGCCGCGGGGAATGTGGAGGTGCAGTACGTCTTCAGGAGAGTGATTCCATTTCCTGTGGCTCCATATCCAGAAGTGAGATCCCTGGGCTGTGGGGTAGTTCTGTTTTCAGTTTTCCGAGAAAGTCCCATACTGTTTCCCAGAGTGGTTGTGCCGCGTCACGTCCTCGCTGTCAGTACCGGAGTTCCCTTTCTCCCACACCCCACCAGCGTGCATCTCCTGCCTTTGTGGTGACGGCCACTCCCGTGGGCGTAAGGCAACATCTCCCTGTGGTTCAGGTTTGCATTTCCTTGTGATCCGTGGTGATGCGGAGCACGTTTTCCTGTACTTTGGGTCATTGTGTGTCTTCTTCAGAAAAGTGTGTGTTCTGGTCCTCTGCCTGTTTCCTATTTGTTTCGCTATTGAGTTGTAGGAGTTCCTCATATGCTTTGAGTATTAAGCCCTCATCGGATGTCAGGTGTATGGTTTGCAAATGTTTCCTCCCATTCAGGAGGTTGCCTTTTCATTTTGGTTTTTCTCTTGCTCTGTAGAAGCTTTTTAGTTGGATATAGTCCCCCTTGTTTATTTTTACTTTTGTTGCTTGTGCTTTGGTGTGACATCCAAAAAAAACCATTGCCAAGACCAATGTCAAAGAGCTTTTCCCCCAGGTTTTATTCCAGGCGTTCTATGGCTTCAGGTTTTACACTTACATTCTTAATCAACTTTAAATTGATTTTTGTAAGTGGTATAGGATAGGGGTTTAATTTCATTTTTTTGCGTGTGAATTTTCAGTTTTCCCAACACCGTTTATTGAAGAGACTGTCCTTTCCCCACTGGGTAGTCTCAGCTCTCTTTTCAAAAAGTAGTTGACTGCATATGTGTGGGTTTATTTCTGGACTTCCAATTCTGTGTCATCGATCTGTATTTCTGTTTTAATGGCAACGCCATACTGTTTTGATTCGTATAGCTTTGTAACATCATTTAAAATCAGCATGTGATGCCTCTAGATTTGTTCTGTTCAAGATTGTTTCAGCAGTTCAGGGTCTTTTGTGGATCCATACAAATTTTAGGATTTTTTTTTTCTGCTTCTGTAAAAAATGCCTTTGGAATTTCAATAGAGACTGCATTGAATCTATAGATGGATTGGGGTAGTAAGGACATTTTAACAATATTAGTTCTTCTGATCCCTGAACATGGGATATCTTTCTGTTTATTTGTGTCTTCAATTTCTTTCATCAATGTCTAATAGTTTTCAATACACAGATATTTTAATTCCTTACCTAAATTTATTCCTAAGTATTTTATTGTTTCTGATGTTACTGTAAATGGGTTTTTTAAAATTTCTTTTTCAGCTAGTTCTCTGTTAGTGTCTAAAAGCACAATTGATTTTTGCGTATTGATTTATATCCTGAAACTTTACTGAATTCATTTATTCGTTTTAACGGTATTTGTGGAATCCTTAGGGTTTTCTATATATAATAGCAAGCCATCAGCATACGGAGACGATTTTACTTCTTCCTTTCTGACTTGGATATTTTGTACTTCTTATTCGTGCTCCGGCTGGGACTCCTGGAACTGTGTCGATGAGGAGTGGGAGGGGCGGGCCACCCGGGTTTGGGCTCCTGATGCCAGAAGAAGACCTTCCGCCGTGGAGCGCGATGTAGCCGCGGACTCGCCACCCGTGGCCTTTGTTGTGTTGAAGTGTGCTCCTCCTGTGCCCAGCTTCTTGAGGGCTTTTACTATGAAAGGATGTTGAATTTTGTTAGGTGCTTTTTCTGCATCTATCGAGATGAACGCGTGGTTTTTATCTTTCAATTTATTAATGTGATGTCTCACATTTATTGCTGTGTGCACGTCACCCTCTCCTGGCACCCCAAGGGTAAATCCCGCTTCATAGTGGTGTGTGGTCCTCCTGCTGTGCTGCTGAATTCTGTCTGCTAGGGTTTTGCTGAGAATTTGTCACCAATATTCATCAGGAATAGTGGCCTGTAATTTTCTTTTCTTAATGTACCCTTAGCTGGCTTTGGTATCGGTATAATGCTGGTCTCCTAAAATGAGCTTGGGAGTATTCCCTTCAATTTTTTCTGAATAACTCAAGAAGGATTGGAGTTGATTCTTTTTTTTAAGATTTTATTTATTTATTTTTAGAGAGGGAAGGACGGGAGAAAGAGAGAGAGAAACATCAATGTGCAGTTGATGGGGGCCATGGCCTGCAACCCAGGCATGTGCTCTGACTGGGAATCGAACCTGCGATACTTTGGTTTGCAGCCTGCGCTCAATCCACTCAGCTATGCCAGCCAGGGGGGGAGTTAATTCTTTAAATTTTATTAGATTTATGTATGAAGCCATCTGGTCTTGGGCTTTTCTCTGTCGGGCGAGGGGTTTAATTACTGACTCGGTCTCCTTACCCATTATTTGTCCAGATTTCCTATTTATCCATTTCTTCTGGGTAGTTAGGGAAAGTTTGTATTAGTATAAGAAAATGTCTACCAGCCCAGGTCCCAGGTGCCAGCTCAGGGCCAGTGTTGCAAGCAGGCCTGTCTCAGGACAATAGCCCACCACGCCAGCTCTTCTCTGCACCCCCGCTTAATCCTCTCGACGTGTTCGGGATCAAAGACATTGGGCAGCGAACAAATGGGGAGCAGCCATTGAGACCCCGGCGTTCAGACCGAGTCCCCGCAGCGCTAGGTCTTTGGCCACCCTGCCCTTCTGCCTCCTCTTCTCTGCTTCTCCATCACGTCCCCCCCTTTGTCCAAGGCTGAGCCTCCTTCTCCTAATCCATCCCCACTAACAACAAACCTCCTGTCTACTGACTTTGTCCAGCAAACAGCTCTGCACAGAGGCTCGACTTTTATCTCGATCAACCCTTGGTCTTTTCTTTCCTAAACCGAATACCCGACGGAGACACTGGAGTCCCTCTGATGTCTGAGGGTTCAGGTTCCAAGAAGCCAAGACCCTGAAACACTCCATTTCCTTAAAAGAAAAGCATTAGTCCCATAAGCATCTCCATCAAATATTTAGGGTGAACCTATTTCTGGTACTTTGCTAAGTGTGATAATAGGTTGAACATAATTTACTAAGTACGGATTCATCATGTTCTGGGCTCAGTACTAAGCCCTGGAGGTGGAAAGATACATAAGACCTGTGCTCAGCGAGCTCAGAGTTCAGTAAAAGCAGAGGAGGTAGACAGGAAGACAAGTCATTACAGTGCCTTTGCATCTGTGCAGCACGTCACAGGTTCACAGGTCCCTGGGGGGCTCTGATCGGACCCTCACACCCACGCTGTCAGGAGGACAGAGTGGGCATCACCTCCTGCATCTTCTAGATGCAGAGACCAAAGCCTCCTAGACAGGAAGGGACACCCAAGACCACAGTGCCAGTGTGGGGTGGGGATAATGCTTCTCTGGAAGCCCAGCCTCTCCATGGCCAGCAGGGGGCGCCTCAGAGGCCTCTGTCTTCTGCCTCCCCGTTCTCTTTTGCAGTTTTCCTGATCATTTTTGACTCCCTCTCAGGTATATATCCTTGCTCACAGAGCTATGACAGTTGGGACTACTCAAAACTGGATCCAGAGAGATTCTTGAGAGAAGAATTAATGTTGCATAGAAGAAGATGGATAAAGAGTAAGTAAGGTACCACTCACAGACTTTTGCCCAGCTGGGCAGAAGTGCCCAGGCCACGCCCAGCCCCTGTGTAGCTGGGGCAGGGAAAGGCCTTAGTACTGAAATCCTCAGGCCAGGTTCTGTCTCACGTATATCCCCAGAACTAGCCGCCAGGATGACTGAAACGTTAATTTGTTAACCATAGTGAGAGTTGGCACAGCATCATTGTTGGGGTGTGGGGGCAGTACTTTATATCATTACAGTGGATGCCAGTTACTGCGTGTCTGCTGTGTGCAGGCACCGTGCTGAGCTCTTTGCCCTTTTTATTTAATCCTCACAATGAGCCGAACTACACACTGAATCCACAGAGGAGGAAATAGAGTTCAGAGAAGCAACTCTCCCAAGGCACACTTTCTTGCTGCACTCAGCAGCCGTGTGCAGAGCGCCGCGTGCCAGGCACCACACCGTGTCGACACTGGGGGCACACCGGAGGCAAGCACAGACCCCACCAGCAGTCTCCTGGGAAATGCAGGCAACACAGTGACACTGCGGGGGGCTGGGCGCCGTGGCAGGGAATACAGGTGCTGAGAGGCCTGGGAAGGGGTACCCAGTCCAGCCACTCAACTGGTGGTTCTGGTTTGCCTGGGGCCAGTTCTCTTGCTGTTGCTGTTGCTGTGGCTGTGGCTGTGGCGTCCAGGGAGGGGGCCGTCTCAAAGCTCGGAGTCTGCGGGGTCACACCAGCACAGGGAGGAATTGATAAACATCTCTGTCTCTTCCCTAGGACGAGAGCGATCCTTACTCACTTCTAAGACATCCTCTTTGCAGAAGACTGCCCTGAGCAAGAAAGTCCCCGGTCTTCAGGTGAGGAGGGAGGCGCAAACCCGGACCCCTCGGAGCCCCCACGAGCTTCAGTGGCTTCTGGCCAGCCCCACATCTCTGCACTCCCTGCCCCGTCCTCTCGCGCCCTGGATTTTCCCGAGTGCCAGGGCACGGGGACCGTCAGGGTCAATGACAGCGCTGACCCCAGTCCCTCCAGCGTGTGCCCATACCCACCAACACGAGATCTCAAAGCCCGTTCCCCTTTCATGTCTCCAGGCGCCCCCTGTAGAATCTCACCCTGGCTCTCCTGCTGCTCTGCCCCACCGCAGACGAGCTCTCAGCGCACAGAATCTGAGCTGCAGGGTGATCTTGTGGGTAGAAGGGTCCCATGTCCTCTGCCCCGTGGTGGGGAGGGGCCCCGAGCAGTCTGATTTTAGCCCCCATCCCAGCAATGGTCGCCCAGCCTCATACACCTGGGGGGTGGTCGCTGGTCATGACACGAGGCCAGATGGAAAAGTGTCCGCGCCCCCCATGCAGATTTGTTCATGTATATCCTCGCTAGTCCTTTCCAACACTCCTGCGAGGTCGGCGATGGTGATCTGTCTCTGGCACGGGAAGAAATACTCAAAGAGGCGAAGCACTTGCCCCAGGCCACACAGCTGACCTCAGCAGACACGGGGATGCTGTCAGCCTGGGCTCCTTCTGCATCATCGTGCTGCCAGAGTCTACTCCGCGTTTATGCTCTGCTCTGCTGTAGCGCTGAGGCCTGCTAAGGATGAGCATGATGCTTCTTCACTGAGTCCTGGGAGTGTTTTCTCTCTAACACGCCCCAGTGGTTACTGGGCAGAGAGGCAGAGGCCTTCATCACTGTAAACATCAGTAGCTGTCGGACAGCCAGCTGCCTGGTGCATGGGAAGTCCGTTCAGCCTTCTTCCTCCTGTTCAGATACACTTACACGAAAGCCAAGCGGTGCTTGTTGAGGCTGGTGAACTGCTCATGTGCCACTGGGTGGGCCATCTGTTTAGCGTCACTAAACTCCTACTCATCCTTGAAGGCAGAACAAAAGTGGCTTCTCTGCTTGGAAACCCTCCAGCTCTCCCCCAGACAGAATCAAGTGTCCCCCACTCTGCCGCCTTAGGATGCTCCGCTCGTGCCGCTCTGGCCTGCTATTAGTTGCGCCACAACGTCTGCTGTCCCCTACCTCTGCAGAAGGAGCACCTCTGGGGTTTGTCCGGGCCCGTACCTAGCCAGATAAAAGATTTCACTTCCTAGCCCCCGCCCCCACATCCCTGTGTAGCCGTGTGACTACGATCCAGCTAATGAGGTATAGGTGGACGTGCGTGTGGCAGTTCCTGGGAGCCTTAAGAGCTCATATGACTCCTTTGCCTCTTTGCCATTTTCTCCATTCTGCTGCCTGGAAGGCGAACGTGATGACTGGAGCTCTAGCTGCCATTTTGGACCCTAAAAACAAGGGTTCTGTCTTAGCAAAGGTGGGACCAGGAGCCAGAATAAGTCAGAGGCTCTAAGGACTTATCCCAGCAGACTCATGTGGGAAGGAAATTTCTACCTAGTTCTAATAAGTACGTGGTACTTTCCACACCTTAGCATAATCGTCTACTTACTGTTACCTCCCCTGCTAGACCGGGAGCTCCTCTGGAAAGGGGCCAGGTTTCAGGGTCTTCCCAGTGCCAGACACAATAGTAGTGGCTCAACCGCATGTTTGCGGAAGGAGGCGTGGTGATTGCGTGAGCGATGGCTGCGCTGCTCACGGCGCACGTTGCGTGCGTTCGCCGACTTCATAAGAACCCGTGCGGGAACCGAGGCCAGCGAGACCTGCGCGGAGGGCGGGAGCCGGAACCCCAGCTGGCCGCCGGCCGCAGCCCCTGCGTTTTCTCCCTCCACCACTTCCGCCCACCGCGCTGCCGGATGGAGCGCCGAGTTGTCCGGCCGTGCCTGAAAGCCGTCCCTCTACAAGGACGATCAGAAATACCTGGGAAATAGCGGGTATGTTTGTTTGTATTCCTCTCACTGCCACTTGTACTGAGTTTGTTCTGTTTTTTCCCTCTCCCCCGGAGTCTACTAGTGCGATTTCAAACAGCGAGAAAGACTCTGTATCCAAGAAGACTTCGGAGGACACCCCCCCAGTACAGAATACCATGAAAGGTACGTCAATCACGTGAAAGAGAAATGTAAGCTTTGGACTCAGTTATTATCTCCGTATCCCTCGTTTCTCGGGTTTGTTTCAACGTAGTTTGTCACCCTAGTTTACACCCAGTTTCTACCTGGGCCTTGGCACCGAGTCACGCTTTGGGCGAGGGCGTGCGTGTGTTTTCAGTTCGCAAGGTCTGGTTAAGTCCCGCTTCCCTAACGAGGAATGCAGCGCAGCGCTGACATCTGTGGGGACCGGGGCTGTGGGACGGCAGGAAATAAATCCCAGACGTGGTTACCGCCCCTCTCCCCATCAGAAGGCAGGAGCTGATTCGTGCCTGGCTGTTAATCTATAGAGGGGACTGAGTGACTTCCCAGGGGGGCCAATGCCATCAAAGGAAAAGTTATTCATAGTTCTCTTGGAAACAAGAAGCGTGGCTCGCCCTATGGGGCCGCGGGATCGAATGGGGTGAAATTGTGTGACTTTACCTGAGCTACTTCCTCCGGAATCTCCCAGGGGTCCCAGCGCACCCAGGCCTTTCCGCACTCATAGGAAACTGGGGTCTGCCGGGTGCTCTTTCTTATGACGGCCACCAGCTCCAATGATCCTTTTCTGCCACCGTTGCATTGACAGAGCCTTTGGGTCAGACTCGGGTCTCGAGGAAAGCTACACAGCAAGTCATGAGGATATCAGAAGCGAGACTATACGAGACTTTGCGTCCTAAGGAGGTGGGCACGTGATTGGAAATTTATTTTTATATTTTTTAAGATTTTATTGATTTATTTTTAGAGAGAGGGGAAGGGAGGGAGGGAGAGAGAGAGGGAGAAAACCATCAATCAGTTGCTTCTCACACACCTTGCAACTGGGGACCTGGTCCTCAACCCAGGCATGAGCCCTGACCGGGAATCCAATCCGCGACCTTTCGGTTTGCTGGACGTTGCCCAGCCCACTGAGCCACAGCAGTCAGGGCCGTATTTGATCACTTTTCACTCTCTTCCCACCACCCGCCAGCTCCCCCAGCCCCTGCAGAGGCCTCCCAGCCGCCCTTCTCACGTCTACTCTGGCCCACTGCCATCATTTCTGCACACGCCAGTCAAAGGGATCTTTAGGAAAATGAATCAAATTATGTTGTACCTGGATCATGATTTTCCAGTGGCTTCCATGACTCAGAGAAGATTCTAGGGCCCAGAGCCCTGTTCCCTGCTCAGTTTCACCGGACAGTCTCCTCTAGAACCACGCCAGCCTTGTTTCTGTCCCCCTGCTACCTTACGGGGCTCTCATCTGCCTCGGGGGGCCCCTCTTGCCTGGAACATCGCGCAGCCCTTCTTCCCACCCACCCGTCAGCATCTGCTGGGATCTCCTGTCCTCAGGGCCTTCCTCCCTGCCCACCCCACAGAAGGTCCCCCCCTCTCCAGTCTCCCACCTCACCACGCATCACCCTTGCCCTGCCTGAGTCTTATCTGAAGCACTCACTCCGCAATATCTTGGTATTCTTCCGTTTCTTGGTTTGTTTATTGTTTTCCTTTCAACTGTAAGGCCAGCTCCACAGGGGCCGGAATTTGTCTTATTTTCAGCTGAGTCTCCAGTGCCTAGAACAGGGTACGCGTGGTGGTCGTCCCTCAAATATTTGGTAACAGTGCTTCCAGTCTCTCGCCTATTTTTTTAAGAACTTAGTGGGGGTTTTTTTTTCGTTTTCTTTTTAAGATTTTTATTAATTTTTTTTAGAGAGGGAAGGAAGGGGGGGGGAGAGAGAGAGAGAGAGAAACATCAATGTGCGGTTGCTGGGGGCCATGGCCTGCAACCCAGGCATGTACCCTGGCTGTGAATCAAACCTGCGATACTTTGGTTCACAGCCTGCGCTCAATCCACTGAGCTATGCCAGCCAGGGCTTTGCTTATTTTTTTAATTGAATTATTTCAAATATTTATTTCATATATGTAATATTATCTACTCAATTTTGCATCTTGTTTTAATCTATTATATCTGAAACAATATTTTAATGCCAACTCTTCCTAAACATTTGAATAGTGGCATACTATACCTTCCGTTAGGGATATTAATAATTTCATGACTGTTACTCTGATACTTTGTTATAGTAAAAGTGCCTGCAGTAAACATCTCTGTGCCTAAACCGTTTTTCTTTATTTTGTCCACCTTCCTTAGGAGAGCGCCCCAAAACTGGAGGTACCAGGTCAAAGGACATGAGTGCCTTTACACTCCCTCTTTTTTTCCCCCTCTCTTTTCTGCTCAGTCCCACCCTGCCTGCAAAAACCCCGAGCTGACTTCCAGCCTCTTTAACATTTACGGGAAGAGCCCTCTGATCGTGTACTTCCTCCTGAACTACGTCACCCTGCGGCACAGCGGCCAAGACGTGCTGATAACCCGGAAGGAGAAAAGCAAGAGCATCCCATATCCTTTCCTGCACGGGCAGGATGCATGTTACTCCAGGCCCCTGCTTCCTCTGCCCGGAAGCAAGGGTAAGGGAGAGGGGAGAGGAGAGGCATCCAGCCCTTAATACAGCGCCTGGCACAGAGCAGTTGCCGTTGATAGAAGCCTCCATTGATAGACGCCTCAGGGTCAGAATCTTGCTCATTTAGATCCTTGTCTGCCTCACGAGCTGGCCGTGTGGGACCCTGCGCAAGCCAAATGAGCCTGTGTGCAAAGTTCCTTCCATGAACCAGAATGGAAGCGTTACCTGGATACTCTCACATACCTGGCCACTCAGTGATGCCTCCCAGGTGCTCAGGGACCCTGCAGTATGTACTGAGCAGGATTTCAGTGTCTAGGTGTGTGTTTTTTCTAACACCCTTTTCGCACACACCCCTCCCCCAGACACACCAGCACAGTCCTGGCCCCACTGGCATTTACCCTAAAGATCTGGTATGAGGAGCTCAGACCTTAAGAAAGCAGCTGTGACGTGTCAGTGGCCCGAGTCTCGGCAGTTTCCCACAGAGGGTCTGCCGTGTCCTAACGGACTCAGGAACCCACTCAGCTGCTTACCAGCTGAGTGCTCTTGGACAAGTTCTAGCTTCCCTCCGAGCCTCACTTTCTCGTCTGTAAACGGGGGATGACTGTCCCTTCCCCATAGGCCTGTTCCGCAGAGTGCAGGCACGACAGAGGTCAAGGCTTCCTGTGGTGCCTGGCGGGCAACAAGTGCCTGAACGGTCCCCAGCGACATGTAGCTCCCCATGGGATGGAGGAGCTTCCGTAACGAACTAGGTAGGGCTTATAGCTGCTGCCATTCAGCGCTTCATATCCGCTAACCTGTTTACATGTCTATAGGCAGAGAATAACTACCCACAATTCTCTGCACTTCATTGTTATAAAGTGCTGTTCCTTATAGCACCTGTCGGTCTGTCAGGATTGTGCAATGTAGTGGAAGAAGCCTGGGTTGGCGATACAGGGCCCGGGTCTGAGTCCCCCCCTTCACCCCGCTGCCCCCAGCAACCCGCGGCCTTCAGAGCTCAGGTGCACAGCTCAGCCCTGAGCTCAGTATCTGTGTTGCTGTCTCTTTCCTAAAATAAGGGTAGTTAAACCAGGCCAGCGGTGTAGTGACCAGGATTGAGGGGCATACAGCTGGAACTAAATAAATAATAACTCTCATTATTATTACTGCCATCGTCTAAGGTAGGGATATGTTAAAATATATAGACAAGTTCTATAGATGAGGAAGTGGAGACACAAAGGGTGACTTACGTCTTGTCTGGGCGCCCGCAACAAGCGACAAGTGCAGCTGAGGTTCTGACCCATCCAGGAGGGGCGGGGTGGAGGGGGTGGTGACGGCAGGCAGAGGAAATCTTTCAACAAACAACACGAGCGGGACAACGAGGCCTTGGACCTGAAAGGAGAGAAGAAGTTGCAGTTCCTTCCTATCCGCCACTAAGATAACAGAGTGAGACTTTTAGGCAACAGTCTTAGAAAGCATCGCCTAGCCCTTGCATCAGCGGGAAGAGAGAAGGGCTCTATTCAGAGCTGGGGAGTGGCCTGGCCACGGGGAAGACGGCCTCCTCCCAAAGCGGGTCAAGGTCAAAGAGCAGAGAGTTGCTTCCTGCTCAGGCTCCCGCTGCCCCCTCCACAGACAGACAGTTTCCCCACTTGGCGGTCTCCCCGCCCTTCCTCCCCACACCCCAGGCACGCACCACCCCCCTACCCTGATAACACCGAGAGTCAGCTACGACCGCAGGGTGGGTTCTCCTTGACCGTGAAGGCCACCGAGTCCAGCCTGACCTATGCTGACGTCATCAGCATGACCCTGTGCAACATGGAGAAGCGAAAGGACGCCCTGCGGCAGCTGAGCCTTCTCTACTGGAGTGAGTGGACCTACTTCGATGAGTACCTGAGGGACCTGCAGGACACCTTCCGCAGGTATCTGGGGGCCTCCGGGGGGCGGTGGGGTTCCAGCACTTGTCTTCCGTAGCTCATCGGAGCAGTTTTTCATCGCGGGGCTGGCCCTGTAACATCTTAAGCACACGGAGCTTTCTAATGGTCAGAATGCGAACTCCACAATAACAGAGACCAGATCGTTTTATCAGAACATCGGCTGGGTTTTAGATGATATTAGGGAATTCCTTTTATTGCCGTGCTCCCTTTGAAAGGAGATTGTAATAGTTTCATAGCTATTTTTAAGGAGTCGTCTTAGAGACGTCCGTAATGAAGTGTTTCTGGGTAGAATGACATGGTGCCTGCGATTTGCTCTGAAATAGCCCGTGTGGGGACGGGGGGCAAAAGGGGGCAGTGGATGAGTCGAGATGGACCTTCTGTTGGTAACTGTTGAAGTTAGAGGAGTGTTCAGTGTGCTACTTTCTGTACTTTTATATATAAACTTTATGTATTTTCAAATTTTAAATGTTTTAAATGGTAGCCATAACAAACGGAAGGCGACAACTGCTGATGCGGAACATTACCTGTAGGTGGGCCAGGGCCCTTTCGGGACATCAGTTCCCTGGCAGGGCGCGTCAGTGAGCGTGCTCGCCCCGAGGCAGGCCGGGCCGCGGCGCAGGCACAGCTGCCCCGTCCCCTGCCGGTTTGCCCCGGGAGGCCTGCGGACCACCTGCACAGCGGGGACACCCCCAGTGGTGCTCACGGAGTGGGCGTGGGCATGAAAGGAGATGTCCGGCTCAGCGCCCGGCTCCACCTGGCAGTGACAGAACCTGGGGTTGTGGGGAGGACGGTGTCACCGCCGGCTGGTGACCACCGGGTTCTCCCCGCCGGCGGAGGAAGAGCCAGTGTGCACCCGCAGGTGGAGCTGCACCCAGCGTCCCGCTCCTCTCACACATGTACTTATTGCGGTTTTGTCTACTTTGAACACTCATGACCTGCTTCTTCCTCAAGTCAATGTGTGCTCACACTTCGGAAGTCGGCTGATACACTCATGACCCAAGTCGGCGTTCCCCGCTCTGTGTGCCCCAAATTTACCCCCGAAACACGGCTGGCATTTATGGAGCCCTCCCTGTGTGCCAGCTCCTGACCTGGGGTAACCCCAGCCCCTCCCCAGCCCCGGGCTCTGTGACCGCTGCAGGTGCTCAGATGAGCACACTGGCACGGAGAGGTCACACAGTTTGCCCGAGGTCCCCTAGCAGGCGGCAGAGCCCGAACTTGAATTTGAGCTCGCCCTCGAAGCTCACGCTTCAGCCTCCTTGCAGACTGTGGAGTCCCTCAGCTCTCTTCCTAATTTGCATATGTGCCCCTTGAGGTCGGGGACCGCCCGTTTTCCTCTCTGTCCCCACGGCGGACGGCCCCTGTGGCACACAGACGCGGCCGCGTTGCTGCTGTGTGGGCAGCTCTCTGTCCGGTTTCTCTGCGCAGACGCAGTGAGTGGCTGTGAATGTGGGCCCCTCTTTACGGACAAAAATACGAGAGGGAAGACCGTGCTGGCCCTTCAGTCTCTCCCTCCGTGCCCTTGTGGTTTCCCGCAGGGAGCTGAAGAACGTGGACCGCAGACAGGCGGAGAGGAAGAAGGCCAACCACAGGTTCATCCAGCCGTCCCCCCTCAACGAGGGGCTGAAAAAGAAGTCTCGAGGGAGCATCCAGAGGGAGACCGCGTTCCTCCTAAGGTTGGTTTGAGAAAACACCAGAGGAAAAGTAGAAATGTGCGTGAACAACGGAAGAATCCTTAGCATGTGGAGAAGAACGCATAAAAGTTCACTCGCTTCTATGTGCGACTCCCTCCATTCTCATTTTATTTTTATTATTAGCGGTCGTAGAAAGAGGCAGCAATGATTCTGTACGCGCTCTGTGCCAAGCGTTTGTGCATTCTAAACTGTATCAGCCGGAGCTCTTCGCTTGCAAGCGCCAGGAAAGCAGCTCAGAGGAGCATGAGCGGAGGACAAGCCAGTGGCTTCAGTAGCCAGGCGGCCCTAAGGGCTCAGTGACATTTCCAGGCTCTGTCTCCCTCCCTGTGTCGCCCTCTGTCCGCCTGCTGGTTTATTTTTCAAGCTGCCCCTTTTCCCAGAGAAGAAAGGCGGCCAGAGATAAGCCTGTATCCTTATAGCGTATGACCCAAAGGAAGAGTTGCACTCCTCTCCGGCCCCCAGGCACCAGACCTCGTCCGAGTCTCTGACTGCTCTGCGTGGGCCGCGGCCTGCCCTCCCGGTCTGCATCGGCACCGTGTGCGGGGGAGAAGCCGCGCTGTGCCGTGCCAGGCCCGAGAGAGCGGGGCACAGTCAGTGACGCGGGGTGGAACGGGTGGCGTGCCCTCAGGCAGAGACGTTGTGCCCGCTTTATTTGATCTGCATCTCATCAAACCCTGTTAGATACCATCACTCCCATTTTACAGAATAGAGAATGGAGGCACAGACATGCCCAGTAAACACTGACTAAAGACCTTCTATGCCAGGTGCTCAGGATACAGAGAAATAAAAGTCCCCGCAGTCTGGAAGGAGGAAAGGATATGTAAATAGGTGACCTGCTACATGTTGTGGAGGTCCTAAGAGAACACTTCAAAAGGGGACACAGCAGGGAGCGGTCAGCGCTGTTGGTTTGCAGGTGGTGACAAAGAACGAATGGGCTGCCACTCTGGCCAACTTGTAGAGCCCAGAGTTAGCGGCCTGCCCCTGCCTTCAGCAGGTCGGGGAGCCAGGGAGAGCCGAGGAGGGAACGGAGGGGCCTCGGGGTCTCACAGGCCACCCCTGAAGCCTGCCGTCCTGTAGCCCAGAGGCGGCCACCCGGGAGTGTGCTGCACAGAAATGTCGATCTTCAGCTCTGGAACTTACCTCTGTTCTTCTAAATAACACGCTTACATTGTGTTTCTTGATTTTTTTCCATCTGTGACCTAATCTGTTGATCATTTCTTCCAGATTGTTAAGAACTGTCGAAAACTCAGCAGCATTATTTTCCATAGTCTCAAACGTATCGTATACATTCTACGTATATTCTGTAGACAGTGCGGTCGCCTCAGAGGCAGGCGCAGTTTGCTGCTTGTTCTCTTCTCTCCACTGCGAGCAGGTGCAGACTTCAAAGGCTGGGAAAAGGTTGTGGTGGAAGATCCTAAAAGTGGGGAGACATTCTATTAATTTCTCCTGCTCCTTTCTTTTCTTTTTTCAATTTTGGAGTTCTCCCCAGGCCCCCCCCCCCCCCAGTCTAGACACATGTGCTCTGGGTCTGCCCACGGTGACCGTCTGGGAGCTGTCCTGCCGTCATCCCGGGACTTCCCTTCGTCCGGCTGATTCGGTCGGAGTCTCTCGTTTCCCGGGTCACGTGTCTGTTTCTTCCTTATTTTACTTCCGCGTTTTGTTGGAACACATCTGCTAGTAGTTCTTTAAGAAAAGGTCCACGGGAAGGTTTTTTCAGTCATTTACATGTCCAAAATGATTTTGCTCTTGATTAATATTTGGCAGATGTTTTTTGCTGGGAATACAATTCTAAATTAAAAGTCCATTTGCCACAGAATTTTGAAAACAAAATTTTTTCCTACCTTTTAGATTTTGTTGAAAAGCATGACACCGTTCTGATTCCCATGGCCTTGAATGTTCTATGTTCTTCTTTTTTCTTGGGGGAAGGTTTTAGGGTATCGTCTTCATCCCCAGTGGCCTGGAATTTCACAGCCATGACCTTGGGGTCAGTCTTTTTCTTACTATGTTTCCCTGGGATTGGGAACCCTCAGACTGGAGAGTGGCATCCTCCAATTCTAAGGATTTGTATTATTTAATTATTTCCCTCCCTTCATTTCCCTAGCTCTGTTTTTCTGGATTATACTTGGTTATTGGAGCTTCCTGGACTGATTTTCTAATTTTCTTATCTTTATTCTTCCGTTGACATCTGTGTAAATTTCTGTCTGCATCTTATCCTCCACTATTTCTTTTAATTTTAAAAATTCTACTTCATTATTAATTTCCTAGAGTCTGCTCTTATATTTTGGCTGTTCCTTTTTCATAGCATTTTCTTGTTTTTTGTGGATGTGATATTTTCATCTATAACTGAGGATGTTAATCTTTATTTTTTTAAAGATTTTATTTATTTTTTTGGGGGGGGCGGAGAGGGAGGGAGAGAAGTATCAATGCGTGGGAGAGACATTGACAGCCGCTTCTCCCAAGTCCCCAGGCGGGGACCTGCCCAGCAGTCCAGTATGTGCCCTGACCAGGAATTGAACCAGTGACCCCAAGACTCACAGGCTGGCACTCAGTCCACTGAGCCACACCAGCCAGGGCGTTAATCTTTATTTTTTAAGTTTCTTCCGACTCCCATATTATTTGTATGGGTATCTTTCTTAGGCATTTTTGTGGGGGGGGTTTCTTATTGTTTATTTGCTTGTTTTGAACTCTCTCTTTCATCTTTGAGTTTTCCCTTAAATTATAGATGATCCTGGGCTGTGTTTATACGTAAGAGTAGAGCTCTAAAAAACTGACAGTGGAAGTAAGAATCAGAGGCCTGGCTTTTCAGTTTGTGGGCTCGCTCTCTCCATTTGCCAATAGGAAAGCAAGCCAGCCTTCTCGCTAAAAGACCCTCAGGTATCAGCATCTACTTGCGTTTTCTCAGCAGCAAGTTTTCTCAGCAGCAATTCAGTTTCGTGGGAGAAGAATCCTCCAGTCATTTGCCTATGGGGCGTACGCCTGGCTGGAGGCATTCTGGAAGTAGAGGAAAGAAATGGGGGTAGGGATCCTGTATTTAGTAGACAGACTTCCACTTAACTTTATTTTCTACTGGTCTAGTATCCTCAAGCCTGAAGCCATTTTATTTTAATTTCTCTGGAAAACAAAAGCCAAACAAAATCTTTGTAGCCCTTGCATTCCTTCCTCAGGGACCCTCATAGTCAATCAAGTTGGCTGCCGGAGTTCCAGCTCGCGGTCTCTTTTCCAGACCCGCCACTCTGACGAGGGAAAGGGGGAAGAGGGCTAACCCCCTCCTCTGTCTCTGTGTCTGTGTCTGTGTCTGTGTCTGTCTCTGCCTCTCTGTCTTTGTGTCTGTCTGTGTCTGCCTCTGTGTCTGCCTCTGTGTCTGTGTCTGTTTCTGTGTCTGTCTGTGTCTGTCTCTGTGTCTGTCTCTGCGTCTGTCTCTCTCTCTTTCTAAAAATCCAGCAGTCAATTAATCAATCACTAAAGAGAAAAAATCAGTGATGAGGGGGAATATCCTTGCCTTGATTCTGACCTTAGTGGGAAAGCTGAAGACTTCTCACCATTAAGTTTGACATTAGCTGCATTTTTTTGGTAGATAGTCTTTATCAAAATCAGGTAGTTCCCCCTATTTTTAGTTTGTTGAGTTTTTATCATGAATTGCTGGATTTTTAAAAAAAGATTATATTCCTTTATTTTTAGAGAGAATGGAAGGAAGGGAGGGAGGAAGAGAGAGAAATATCAATGCGTGGCCACCTCTCACGCGCCCACCATGGGGACCCGGCCCACAACCCAGGCATGTGCCTGATCAGGAATCGAACCAGTGACACTCTGGTTTTCAGGCCAGCACTCAATCCACAATGAGTTAAAATATTTAAAAATTTTTAAGATTTTATTTATTTTTTTAGAGAAAGGGAAGGAGAAAGTGAGAGAAACATCAATATGTGGTTGCCTCTCGAGTGCCCCCTACAAGGGGACCTGGCCTGCAACCCAAGCATGTGCCCCAACTGGGAATTGAACCAGCAACCCTTTGGTTTACAGGCCAGTGCTCAATCCATTGAGCCACACCAGCCAGGGCAAAATATTAAATATTTTAATGGTGATGTTATACTCTTTATTTTAGAAATGAAGAAATCAAATCTTAAGTGAGTTGAAAAATTTACCCAAAGAAACTTTTCAATCTTAAACCTTCTCCTTTGAATTTTCCTTTGAACCAGAAAAAGACTGCAGTTTTTTGACAATAGCAGTTTAGCTTGAGACCCACCTTACAGGATCAATGGCAACTCATTAACACTCTTTCTGATATCCATTTAGATTCTCAGCTCAGAAGCATAAAAATCAACACAGTCGAATTCACCAGTATTATTGTTGCTCCCTCAGACCTGACTCTCCTTCAACTACTTCTTAATCAAGCTCATCCCTTAAAACCCAGCTCAGGTGCCCCTTCCCGGAATTCTCCCCTGACTGGCCTGCGCGAGGTCCCCCTTACGTGCCCCGTTCTTTTCTGATTTCACTCCTCAGAGCACACTCCAGTCGTAGGCGTGCTCGTCCAGCTCCCGAGAGTGCAGGTGTGTTCTCGAGGTTTGGAATCCTGTCCTAGGGGACCTTGTTTTCCCAGGGCTGAGTCTGGTGCCGGACACCCAGCAGGGCCTCGGGCACTGTTAGAAAAGGAACGAGGGAGTGACTGTGGTGTAATCAACATTCCGCTTTAGTTGGTCTCGATCGCGAGCGTTAGTGACTGGTTTGTAAACCTTTTCTTTCCACACCCATCGAGATGCCAGGGGAAACTTGGAAGAAATCACACTGGAGTTTCTGAGCTGGTTGCTGTTGGTGTCTTTTTTGTTTCCCTACAGAAAGGAGAAGGCAGAGAGAGAGAGACGGGAGTTGAACTACCCTCCCATCCCACTTTCAAGTTCAAGCCCTGATGACCTCTCTCCCCTGGAAATAGAAAGCCCCAGCAGCATGTCTGATGTTTCCGATTCCAGGTAGGCAGCACAATGCCAGGAGAAAAAGAAAACTGCGGCCAAAGACTGAAAAATAAAAATAATGATTCCCAGGATAGAGGAGAGAGCTCATTATATTAATGATTTTTCCTAGGCTGAGTGAAAAACAGGAGTAGGGAGTTTTTTGCATGGGTGACAACATTTATTTATGCATTTACTGTGTCACCTATTATTTTATTTAAAATGTTATCACTAAAAATATTAAATTATAACAATAATAATGTTTATATATTAACTGGTTACTCTGTGCCAACAACCATTAAGCTAAACACTTTAGGAACATGACCTCATTATAACCTTTATTTATTATTTTTTTAAAGATTTTATTTATTTACTTATTTATTTATTTCTAGAGAGGGAAGGAGAAAGAGAGGGAGAAGCATCAATGTGTGGTTGGCTCTCGTGCGCCCCCTACTGGTGCAGTGGTGCAGCACCTTGTGCAGTGGCACACAGCAGGGTTTTCTCCATGGCTGGAATTGTTCAGTGCTCATGTGGGCCCGGTCCTTACTCTGTTCCAGGCATGACCCATGCAGTGTTTAACTGTCACGGCATTCCTGGGAGGTAATGGGATGTTTCGTTCTCATTTTTCAGCGAAGGCAGCCAGTTCACAGAGACGCTCAGCGACGACTACTCCCCAGGCTCTAGCAGTTAGAACCCAGGGCCCGAGCTGCAGCCTAAGAGAGGGCTGAAGAGGTGAGCTTAACATGAAGAAAGTCTCATCAGCTTTTTGGGGGGCTGGGGAATCTTCCGGGTTAGGAGTAGCTCATGCATACTATTCTTTTTAGCGTCCACTGTACAGTGGCGGGGAGACCAGTCAGTTCAGCCCATGTTAGCAAGCCCTCGTTGCCCTTTCCTCTTCCCTGAACGTGCCGTAGACACGTGTTCACCCGGCTGGTTCTTACTCGACCCCGAGAGCCCAGCTCGGCCGTCCCGACCTGTTTTGTAATCTGTGCTTGATGGCACACGCTCCACTGAATAGGTCCGGAGACGTCTGTGTTCCTCTCTCTCCTGTCAGTCTTCCAAGTGCAGGGGCTTTGTCTCACTCGGCATTGAATATCCTGCACCTACCTGCTCCTGTGGCTGGCACATAGTAGGGATTCAGCAAATTTGTAAAATGGTGATAATAATAGTATGTATAGCATAAAGTTGTTATAAGAACTAAATTGGTTAATATTTGTAAAACACTTAGAATACTGCCTAATGCAAATAAGTAAATTTTTTAAAGATTTCATTTATTTATTTTTAGAGAGGGAAGGGAGGGAGAAAGAGAGAGAGAGAGAGAAACATCAACATGCGGTTGCTGGGGGTCATGGCCTGCAACCCAGGTATATACCCTGATTGGGAATCGAACCTGCGACACTTTGTTTTGCAGCCTGCACTCAATCCACTGAGCTATGCCAGCCAGGGCCAGTAAATGTTTATTAAATTAACCAATTAATAGTTCTACAAAGCTTGTTACAAAAGACTGCATTCCCTGGACCCCCATCCCATTCCCCGGAACACTTTCCACTTTAACTGATTGTTTTAGTGTGTGTTTTCCTTTTTATGTCGAAATAATATCATGCTGCTCTGCTCCTTGATTTTCTTTTAAAGGAAGAAGGTTTTTATTCCAATGCAGAATGATCTGGGACAATGGGGGACTCCCCATCTAAAAGCTCACCTCTCCCACAAAAGGCAGCGCCCAGAATGCCCGTTCCACTGTAAAGCGCTGTCCTTTGGAGTCTGAGGCGGACTCTTAGTGGTCCCCCGGGCAGCTTAGCTCGTTTTCAGCTGCTGTCCTGCTTCTGGCCCCCTCCCTGGAGGTTGCGTATGGAGCCAGGGCTGCCACCGGCCCTGCGGCTTCTAGGCCACAAGGTGCCATGCTCTCAGGCTGGCGAGTGCACAAATGTTCCGCCAGGCCAGCAGGAGAGAAGGACTCTCTGCCGGAGGCGAAGGGGCACGTGACGGGGCAGGGCGCCCTCTGGTCCGAGTGCAGGTTCCGAGCAGCGGCCACGATCAAGAGCTGCTCCTTGATTTTTCATTGTTAGACTTGATCTGTCCAGGTCTCGCTAGGAAGCATGAGGGCTAGGCGCTCTCTCACAAGCACACACTTCCCGGGCCCCGTGCTCGCGATGTGTTTCTGTTGTGACTGTGATCGGATCCGTAATCAGCGTTGTTCTGCCGTCAGTGCCGTCACCATGCACCATGGAGTGCACTGTGGTTCTTTTTCTTTTTTTGCAAAACTGTTTGATATCCCTGGAACTAAGTCTCTCTCTTTTTAAATCGTCCCGTGTTCTCATTTTTTTCTTATGTACTTACTATAATTTAGCTCCAAATTCTCCCCTGGTTCCATAAATCTCCTCCCAGTACATTCCATTCAGACGCTTCATGTAGTCTACAATTTCACCTTCCGACCCGCTTCACTCTGGGTGGTTTGATTTCTAGGCTCTTTATATAATCTTGAGGATTCCTTTCTTCCTTCTCTTGATCACACTGGCTTTTAAATCTGTTTCTATTTGTTTCTTTATGATTCATCCACAGAGAGGTCAGTAGGAAGTTGACACTAATGCAGGAAAATGAAGTGTTCTCCCTTAGCCCCTCCCCTTCCAGCTCACCTGCAGGAATCCTTGTCCAAGAATTGGGAGGACTTTCGGGGCGAAGCCTGTGCTTGTGGTTGGGTTTACTCTAAAACAGGAACAACAAGGCAAACAAGAAGATAATACTGGCCCTGGCTGGTGTAGCTCAGTGGATTGAGTGCGGGCTGCGAACCAGGCATCACAGGTTCGATTGCCAGTCAGGGTACATACCTAGGTTGCAGGCCATGGCCCCCAGCAACCACACATTGATGTTTCTCTCTCTCTCTCTGTCTCTCGCTCTCTTTCTCCCTCCCTTCCCTCTCTGAAAAAATAAATAAATAAAATCTTAAAAAAAAAAAAAGGAAGATAATACTGCAGCCCATCTAGTCCCTCCCAGTCTATGGGGCAAAGAACATTACGTGCACTCCCACCATGGGCCAAAGTCGGGATGTAAACTGAAGTTAATTCACCTCATTCAGTCATGCAGTTACTTAGTAATTCTTTCATTCACTTGTTTATTTATAGCACCATGGAATACATAATGTTGTGTAACATAATAATCATAGGGGACATAATGTATTGAGCACTTACTATGTACTGAGTGCTCTGTTAAGTCCTTTTTATTCAATTTTTTAAAATTCTCATCCAAGGATCTGTTTTCATTGCTTTTAGAGAGCAAGAAAGCGGGGGAGAGAAAGAGATGTCGATGTGAGGGAAAAACATCAACTGGTCGCCTCCAGTACAGACCCGGACCGAGGATAGAACTTGCGACCTTTCAGTGCACAAGACGATGCTCCAGCCAGCTGAGCCATACCACCAGGGCGACGTCCTTTTCAGGCGTCATCTCCCTTAATTCCCTCAAGATGGCGCTGTTACCTCCGTTTCTCCCACCCGGGCTTGGAGAGCTCGGGCAACATTCATTCCGTGTCTGTTGTGTGTCCTGCCTGCACCCGTTCCTGTGGTTGCAGGGATGAATAAAGACGCCGTCCCAAGCCTTAAGGGGCTTGCAGTCTAGACAGAAGAGGGGGTAGGATGTATAAACCATGAATGCACCAATACTCTGCTAGAGGTCTGTGTGGAATCCAAGAAAAACCCCGTGGAGAGAGGCTGCACTGAGGCTCAGAGGCACAGGGGCCGGTGTGCAGAAGGACGTGCTGCTGGGCTGGAGGCTCAGCCAGTGTCACTTTGGCCTCGTGGCACAAGGAGTGACCTGTCCTGGGTGAGAACAGCCTGCTTGGCACAGCCAAAAGGGAGGAAACCATGCCGGTGGCTGTGTGCCTGAACCAAGAAGCAAGCGAGTGCATTCTGGGGACCCGCGGTGTCTCCCAGGGATACAGCTCTTCACCTGAACCTGCGTGTCACTCTCGGTGACCACCCCTGGAGGTACTACCCAGGTAACGAGGTGCAGGAAGGGTGGTAGAGAAGGAACCCAAGCTTTGGCCCCAGAAAATTCAGGCCTTTGCGTCCCCGCCCTGCTTCATAGCAGATGTGTGACTTCAGGCCCAGGAGTGCTGTGCCTTGACCTTTCTGAACTTGTGTTCCTGGAGACAGAAAAGGATGCCTGCCTGCCTACCAGGGCAGTGTTGTCGTGAAGATTAAGTGATAGAATTTATGCCAGGTTCCTGCCACAGCACATTTCACTTGGTAATTGCTACCAGCTATTATCATCTTTGTTGTTATCATTGCTGTTAAAAAGTATGCTCTTCTCCTCAAAGCAGGACGTGCTGAGCACCTGCCGTGCGTGGGGTGCTGTACAGTGTAGGTAACTGGAGCAGTCTGTCCCTCCCCTTTGTTAACAAAGTCACAATCAACTCTTTTTTTTTTTTTTTTTTGAGAGTACATTTACTAAAGCTGGAACAGTGGAAGGGCTTGGACAGAAGAAGCAACAGGAGGGCCCAGGCAGGGCTGCTTGGCTCGCCGAGTCCCAGAAAAGGGCGCCTTGGAGACAGGTTCAGGGGGCTGGCCCAGGACGAGCTGCTGCCGCCCATTGCTTTCCTGGTTGCACGTCTCATGGGGACCCTTAGAGCTTAGGAGACGCTGCCTTTCCAGGAGGAGGAGGAGGAAGGGAAAGGTGTGGGCATGCTCCCCGAGGGAGAGTGCCTGCAGTCAACTCTTTATTTGCAGTTTTCTCCTGAGGAGCCACGCTCGCTCTCCTACCTACGGGCCTTCTGCCTATTGCTGCTTCAGTACCTGGATACCCCTTCTCCCTTTTCCCTCTAAACTCCCAACATCGCTAATTCCTGCTCCTCCGGGAAGCCTTCCCAGAAACACCAGCAGCAAGGCTGACGTAGGTGCCCCTCCTGCTCCCACAGCATTTTTCGCACTCCCGTCATGAGCGGTTCCCACAGCAGGTGTATTTACCTGCTCACCTGGCCCTGCCGCTAGCCCCCGCTCAGGAGGAAGGCCTCCTGATTTTCAACATCCAAGGTAGATCGCATTGCCATCTTTCAAGATGATCCTTCGCATAGTGCCAGGGTTCAAGATCATCCTTGCATGACCACTTCCAGAAATTCCTGAGGACCCCTAACCATAGGCCTCTCAGGAAGGTCAAGATAAAAGACCTATTTTCCTTCTTTATAAATTATGGGGAAGAATTTGTACCCTTGATAAGGGGAGGAGCATAGAGCATCAAAGGGAACTAACAGTTAAAAAGCATGTACTGTAATGCGTGATAAAGCAAATGAGTAATTGTGTGACACTCCAGTTCTGGCATGCCTGGTGTTGTTGCCGTGAACGAGTGTTCTGAGCATGGAGGAAAGGCAGTTCAGATGTCACATTAGAAGAGATGAAGTTCAAGTCCTGTAGTCCTGATTTTTAACTGGTTATGAACTGAGGGTATATTTTGTCTTTAAAAACAAACAGTTGCCTAAGGAAGGGTGGCAGGGGTGGTTGGGGAGGGAAGGGGAGAATAGAGGGAATTACAGAGAGCCCCAGAGAAACTTTTGGGGTGATGGGTAGGTTCACGATCTTAACTGTGTTGAAGGGTTCACAGATACAAACACACTATACACCCACACTTTTTAAAAGATTTTTAAAATTTATTTTTAGGGAGGAGACAGTAGGGAGAAAGACAGGAAAACATCGATGTGTAAGAGAA